ATATACCTTTATCATGGTTTGCTTTTATAAAACATTGTATCACTGTACATATAGAAATGCTGCAACAATACACTTCCATCTCTCCTTTTCTTTCATATGAATATTGGCATCAATAACCTCAGATATGCAAATGACACCACCCTTATGGCAGAAAGTGAAGAAGAACTAAAGAGCCTCTTGATGAAAGTTAAAGAGGAGAGTGAAAAAGTTGGCTTAAAGCTCAACATTCAGAAAACTAAGACCATGGCATCCCGTCCCATCACTTCATGGCAAATAGATGGGGAAACAGTGGAAACAGTGGCTGACTTTATTTTTCTGGGCTCCAAAATCACTGCATATGGTGATTGCAGCCATGAAATTAAAAGACACTTAACTCCTTGGAAGGAAAGTTATGACTAACCTAGACAGCATAGTAAAAAGCAGAGACATTACTTTGCCAACAAAGGTCCGTCTAGTCAAGGCTATGGTTTTTCCAGTGGTCATGTATGGATGTGAGAGTTGAACTGTGAAGAAAGCTGAGTGCCGAAGAATCGATGCTTTTGAACTGTGGTGTTGGAGAAGACTCTTGAGAGTCCCTTGGACTGCAAGGAGATCCAACCAGTCCATCCTGAAGGAGATCAGTCCTGAGTGTTCATTGGAAGGACTGATGCTGAAGCTGAAACTCCAGTACTTTGGCCACCTGATGCGAAGAACTGACTCATTGGAAAAGACCCTGATGCTGGGAGGGAATGGGGGCAGGAGGAGAAGGGGACGACAGAGGATGAGATGGCTGGATTGCATCACCAACTCGCTGGACATGGGTTTGGATGGACTACAGGAGTTGGTGATGGACAGGGAGTCCTGGCATGCTGAAATTCTTGGGGTCACAAAGAGTCGGACATGACTGAGCAACTGAACTGAACTGAACTGATTACTTCTACATATGCTTTACATCACAGAGTGTATTATTATTTTTGCTTTTGAGTGTCAGTAACTGTCTTTATAAGTTGAAAAAATGAAAAAAATTCATGACCCATATATTTACTTTGCCTTAGTTTACTTTTCCTTTTCTTAATTCCTTCAGATGTCGGTTCCTGTGTGATATCATTTTTTTTTAATCTTGTGGAACTTATATAATGAATTTTATTTCCAATTCTGCCAATAATAAAGGTCATCTCAGCTGTCAGTGACTCTATTTTGCCTTTCACTTCTATAAGGAAATTTTAGCTGGATACAGAATTCTATTACAGAATAATGTTTGTGATCAGCACGGCAGAGCAGGCATTCCATCGTCTCCTGTCTCACAGTGTTTCTGATGAGAAGTTGGTCATCATTTCTGTCAATCTGTGTGCAACATGCCCTCCTGTCCTGGACCACTTTTAAGAGGTTTTTCTCTTTATAATTGGTTGTCAGGAATTTGATTAAAATGTGCCTTGGTGTAATTTTATTTTTTCTTTGAGCTTTTTTAATTTTGTGTTTGGTTGTTTTTGTTTTTTGTTTATTTTTTTTAAGTTCTGTAGGTTTATATTTTTCACCAAGTTTGGAGAAATTTCAATCATTATTCCAGTGCTTTTCTGCCCTTCATCTTTTTCTTGTATTTCAGTTACACATATGTTAGCCCTCTTGATAGTAAGGCACAAATCAATGAAGACCTGCTCTTCTTTTTTTTTTTTTTTCAATTTTCCTCCGTGTTTTTTTTCCTTTTTTAATTTTATTAATTTATTTATTTTGGCTGTGTTGAGTCTTTGTCGCTCCAAGCAGACCCTCTGTTACGGCGAGAGGCGCTCAGGCTGCATTGCCCCTCTGCGTGTGGAATCTTCCCAGGAGAGGGATTGAACCCGTGTTCCCTGCACTAAAGGTAGGTTCTTACCCCTGGGCTCCCAGGGAAGCCCAAGTGCTGCTCTTTTTCCAGTTTGCTGTTGCTGTTGTTTGGACAATTTCTATTGGTCAGTCATCAAGATTACTTCCCTTCCACGGTTTCTCAGTTCAGTTCAGTTGCTCAGTTGTGTCCAACTCTTTGTGACCCCCATGGACTGCAGCATGCCAAGCCTCCCTGTCCATCACCATCTCCCAGAGATGCTCAAACTTATGTCCATCACATCAGTGATGCCATCCAACCATCTCATCCTCTGTCACCGTCTTCTCCTGCCTTCAATCTTGCCCTGCATCAGCGTCTTTTCCAAAGAGTCAGTTCTTTGAATCAGGTGGCCAAAGTATTGGAGCTTCAGCTTCAGCATCAGTCCTTACAATGAATATTCAGGACTGATTTCCTTCAGGATGGACTGGTTGGATCTCCTTTCAGTCCAAGGGACTCTCAAGAGTCTTCTCCAACACCACAGTTCAAAAGCATCAGTTCTTTGGCGCTCAGCTTTCTTTATGGTCCAACTCTCACATCCATACATGAGTACTGGAAAAACCAAAGCTTTTGTTGGCAAAGTAATGTCTCTGCTTTTTAACATGCTGTCTAGGTTGGTCATAGCTTTTTTTCTACGGTTTCTAGTGTACTCCTAAGCCCATTCAGTGATTTTCTTCACTTAAGAGACTTTTGGTTTTCACCTCTAGAATGTCAATGTGGCTTTTTGTAGCTTCCATTTCCTTATTATAAAATTTTTGCAATTTTCTTTAACTACTTGAAAATATTTATAAGAGCTGTTTTAAAACTCCTTTTTGCTATTTTTATCATCATTGTCATTTCTGGATTTTTTTTCTCCTAGGAACTTTTCAAATTTCCCTGATTCTTTGCATGTCTAATCATTTTATTGGGTACTGGGTATTGTGATAATTATGTCTTTAAGTGGCTGGACTTTGTCTTCCATTAGTGAGTGTTGGGTTTTTCTTCCAAAAGGAAGTCAATTTTCCCTGATCAGGCTGATCTCAGGCTGAGTTGGATACAGGCTAGCCAGTAGCCTAGACCTAGTTTAGCCCTACGAGTGAAGTGTGCTTTCCCCGGGGTCTTTATTGAAAGTCCCACCAGGCACCAAGTTCTCTCCTCTGCCTGGTCAGACCTTGAATGTGTGTGCCAGCCCCATGCTGCCTGACAGGTTTCACCATGGTCCACTGCCCACAGGCGGCAAGAAATATGGGATTAGCAGACAAGCACTTTTAGAAAGACCTTATGACCATGTCCAAGGACTCAAAGAAGACAGACACAGGAATCTTTATTTTTGCCGTCTCTTTTTGAGATTGTCTCAGTCTTTGTTGTTTTGTAGTTCTATGATGTATCTGAGAGTGAGCTCTCTCTTGCTTGAATGTTGATCAAGGTTAATTGGGATTCCCCAATTTCTGGACTGGTGTCTGTAGTCAATCCTGAGAAATCCCCACTTTCCTCTTCACATACATTCTCACACCTTTCCTGAGACACTGTGATTAAACAAATCTGTTATTTCCTAAACCACCTTGTAAAGCTAATCTATTTTTCTATCATTTCCTTGTAAAAAATCTTTTTGTCTAGGGAGTATTTGAGACCTAGTTTATCATTCACTATTTGTCTTTTCAGCCTTGTTAACTTTCTGTTAATCTCATCTATTGGGGTTTTTTTCAGTTTTTTAATATTTTTTTCTGGAAGTTTTATTTAATTCTTTTACAACTTAGCTATGTCATTTTTAAAAATATTCCTGATCCCTGCAAATATTTCCCAGCTTGTTTTTAATTTCTTCTTTTATAATCCATGCTCAATGATTCCAATTTCTGAATTCCTTTGGGCCTTTTTCTATAAAGCTTTGTTGTACAGTAATGTGTGTTTCCATATCAGAGTACAGTGAGAGTGGGCTTGAGAAGGGATGTTTTTCTCTAGTTAAAACAGAAAGAATTTCAGGGGGAAAAGGGAGATCTGTGCCTCCTTTTTATGGTCTAAAATGACAGGATCAATAGTAATTAACACCTATACTGCACTTTAAAATTTATACATTTATACTTTTATTTTATTTCCCCAAAAACTTCCTGCGGGTTACATTACTGCCTCTTTCCTGGATAAAGAACCTGAGATTTGAATAAGACAATGTCTGGGTAGAGTCCTACACTTGATGCAAACAGTCAACTCATTGAACAGACCCAGATGCTAGACAAGACTGAGGGCAGGAGGAGACGCGGGCAACAGAGGATGAGACGGTTGGACGGCATCACCGATTGGATGGACGGAACTTGGGCAAACGCTGGGAGATGGTGAAGGACAGGAAGCTGCAGTCCATGGGATCGCAACGAGTCAGACACGACTTGGCGACTGAACAGCAGAGTCCTACGATGGGAAGCAGCCAGGCCAGAGCTCACCCTGGCCAACCCGACCACAAGCACCACGTCGGATGCGGCTCAGAAGACTGGACAGCTGTCCCACGGGAGTAGAGACCAGGAGAGAGCCTGGGGCGGACAGGTGAAAGTCCAGCTGTGGGAAGTCCTGAGAACGAGCACAGAGTGAGCCCGACAGACAGACGTGATGGGGAAGAGCCCGGTGTCAGCAAAGGCAGAGCGAGAGCCCGCGGAGTCCCCGGGAGCAGTGTGTCCGAGTCCGGAACACGCTGGGCTGGCGTTTCTTTATCGGCCTTAAGATACCACCTGCCCTTGCCTGGTGGCTCAGAAGGTAAAGAATCTGCCTGCAACGCAGGAGACATGGGTTTGAACCCTGGGTGGGAAAGACCCCCTGGAGTGGCAACCCACTCCATACCCTTGCCTGGAGAACCCCATGGACAGAGAAGCCTGGAGGGCTACAGCCCACGGGGTCGCAGAGTCAGACACGACTGAAGCAGCTTAGCGTGCACGCAAAGTAAAACTGAGCTCTAACTTTTTCTAACGGCAATAACACTCCCTCCTTTCTAGGGGGCTTTTTAATGCTTTAATGTGGGGGCTGATGTCCCTGTAACAGGGCACCCAAACCACCAACCTTGGACCCTTGGAACAGGGAACACTGCGATCCCTGTCAACAGCAAGACACCAGGAGTGTTTTGAGCTACCACTTTAAGAGAAGCTCAGCACATGAAATCCCCTGGCCCCCTAAATTTCAAGCGCTTACTATTGGCTCCTGAAAACAGAAACATCCTCCAGTTCAACCTGCAAGGCACTGGCGCCCACTTGGGCAGCGGCTGGCGCTCTGGTGCTGGTGCCAAAGGCGGTGCCCGGCACCTCAAGTGTGAAATCAAGAAAAGCTTTCAGCGCAGGTCCCTGGCATTGCTGGTCAACACTACAGAAGAATTCAAAGCCTATCTTTTCTAAGCACACAGTCCACGCTAGAGCGACCCACTGAACTGTGGGGACAGGACGCATCCGTCTCTCCACATGCAACTCTCTCGGCCCCGTTACAAGGCTGGGGTGGAGCCAAACATCGACCAACGGGGAGCCCGCAGGAGAGCTGACCCCTCACCCCTCACATGGCACACTGGCCCCTTATTCCCAACCACCCACCGCCTCTCAGGATCCGGGCCGTTCACCCCAAAGTGCTGGGAGTACTGCCTAGGTCGCTGCACTAGTCCAGGCAGGGAGAATGCATTCGGGCGGGATTAAGTCCTTCTCTGTCTCCAAACTAGAAAAGAATGTGCTTGTTCCTCCAATATTTGGGAACCAGAGCATCTCAGCAGAGCACATGGGGGCTCTCCAAACAGAATCCTTCCTTTTCTCATAAACAAATTATGCAAACTCTCTACTCTTCCAGAACTAGCAATGTCACCATCAATTATGCAACTGACAACAATGGATTCGGAAGGGAGCTCAGGAAAGCATGTCATGAATGTTTCAGCCGTGTTGTCAAGACTCCAGCACTTCTAAGTACATCAGCCATCATCACCAGGACCTCTTCTCCTCACGATGAGGCCTGGCAGGTAGACCCAGTGGGTGGGTGGAAGAGTGAGCGCCCAGGAGAGGGAGCCACACGCGTGTGTGCCTAGCTGCATTTGGCTTTCTTCACTGTCCACATTTCTTTTAAGTAAAGGGATTAAAAATGGATGGTAAACTGTCATCACTCCAACTCGCACTTGCTTTGACAAGCTTCACACTTGTTTCTTGCTCTGAGCCTGCTCTCAGCTTCCTTCTGACTGTTAGATCTTACCTGGGATAATAGAACTTCTGGGTAACTTTCTTACCTTGTGAACTTCCCAAGTGACTATATATGTCCTGCGTCCAAGGCCATTTTGCCTCGAGATCCATAGACACTAACTGACCCCGTGTCTGCGCCGTGAGCCCGCTGTGCCCTCTGCCCTGCTCACACTAGGGTTGCAGTGGACACTTGGGCCTTGGGTTGCAGGGACGGTGAGCCCTGCTCATCACCCTTCTCAGAGGAGAGCGGCCGAGGCCCTGTGCTCAGGACAACAGAGACGGGAAAATAAGATCAGAGGAAAGATTAAAGGACAGGGACAGAGTCAGGAAGTCTCAGGCACTGCGGGTTTTGTTTTGTTTTCAACTGTAGGAAAATGAGAGAAGGAACCCAGTGCTGTTAGAAATGTCGTTCTGTACAACAGGCTTCCTTCTGAGAGCTGAGAAAAATCAGTTTTGCATAAGAAGTCAGCAACAGAAGAGGATCAGAATCAAACCCTCTGCCAAGTCATCATCAGAAGAGGAAAAAAGAATAAAGACCAGAGTTAGGTCCCTGCAGATAATGAAAACATGCAGAAAGATGCACAAAACCACGGCAAAATCGAAACCTGCTGACTCAAAGCAAGCTGACTGGGACAGATCCATGACCTCACATGGCGGGGACAAGATCGTTCAAAGTCGGAGAGACGCAGGAAAGAGTACATAGAACCTAAGATATAGTTAGAAATAAGAGGAGAACATCGTTTCAGCAATGAAGACTAAACAGAAAAAGGAGTAGAGAAAGATCATGACAATGAAAAAGCAAAATAAGCAATGACTGAAGAGAACCACATCTTAGTTACAAAAATACGTGAAGAGAGAGATCTAAAGAGCTCACGAGAACATGACAGATACTGAAGACAGGCAAGGAGACCCAGCGGATGGGTGACAAGCGTGGGGAACCCTGAGAGGTGGGGGTGGGGAGGCGGTCCGGTGGTCAGAGGAAGGGGTCCAGGGAGGAGGCCGCCCTGGTGACCATGGTAATAGCATCCAGAGAGGAAGCCGCCCTGGTGACCATGGTAACAGCATCCAGGGAGGAGGCCGCCCTGGTGACCGTGGTAACAGCATCCAGGGAGGAAGCCGCCCTGGTGACCGTGGTAACAGCATCCAGGGAGGAGGCCGCCCTGGTGACCGTGGTAACAGCATCCAGGGAGGAGGCCGCCCTGGTGACCGTGGTAACAGCATCCAGGGAGGAGGCCGCCCTGGTGACCATGGTAACAGCATCCAGGGAGGAGGCCGCGCTGGTGACCGTGGTAACAGCATCCAGGGAGGAGGCCGCCCTGGTGACCGTGGTAACAGCATCCAGGGAGGAGGCCGCCCTGGTGACCGTGGTAACAGCATCCAGAGAGGAAGCCGCCCTGGTGACCGTGGTAACAGCATCCAGGGAGGAAGCCGCCCTGGTGACCGTGGTAACAGCATCCAGGGAGGAGGCCGCCCTGGTGACCGTGGTAACAGCATCCAGGGAGGAGGCCGCCCTGGTGACCGTGGTAACAGCATCCAGGGAGGAGGCCGCCCTGGTGACCGTGGTAACAGCATCCAGGGAGGAGGCCGCCCTGGTGACCATGGTAACAGCATCCAGGGAGGAGGCCGCCCTGGTGACCGTGGTAACAGCATCCAGGGAGGAGGCCGCCCTGGTGACCGTGGTAACAGCATCCAGGGAGGAGGCCGCCCTGGTGACCATGGTAACAGCATCCAGGGAGGAGGCCGCCCTGGTGACCGTGGTAACAGCATCCAGAGAGGAGGCCGCCCTGGTGACCATGGTAACAGCATCCAGGGAGGAGGCCGCCCTGGTGACCGTGGTAACAGCATCCAGGGAGGAAGCCGCCCTGGTGACCGTGGTAACAGCATCCAGGGAGGAGGCCGCCCTGGTGACCATGGTAACAGCATCCAGGGAGGAGGCCGCCCTGGTGACCATGGTAACAGCATCCAGGGAGGAGGCCGCCCTGGTGACCGTGGTAACAGCATCCAGGGAGGAAGCCGCCCTGGTGACCGTGGTAACAGCATCCAGGGAGGAGGCCGCCCTGGTGACCATGGTAACAGCATCCAGGGAGGAGGCCGCCCTGGTGACCGTGGTAACAGCATCCAGGGAGGAGGCCGCCCTGGTGACCATGGTAACAGCATCCAGGGAGGAGGCCGCCCTGGTGACCGTGGTAACAGCCCCGTCATCCTAGGAAGTTCCTCAGAGGAGATGCAAAAGCTCTCCCTGTCACAGACCGCGCGAGGCGATGGTGCGTTAACTGACCTCAGCGTGGTGATGACTGCCCCACACACAAACGTCACAGCTCCACAGGGCACACCTCAGACTTCCGCAGGGTTGGTGCCGGCTATGCGTCCACACAGCTGTGGAAGCCGGCCACGCGGAAAGAGCAGGGCCGTACCAAAGAGCGGGACGGCCCCTCCCCAAGGCGGCCTGGCGCCTGCAGCCCAGGGCAGTCTCCACGCCCCCAGCCCCAGGGCCACGAGTCGGCCCGCAGGACCCGGGCTCAAGGGTCGGGCACCGGAGGCCTGAGTGTCCGGAGGGGACAGAGGGGCCACAGCGCCCTGAGGGGTCAGAGCCGGGAGGGCGCCGCGCAGCCTGGGAGCGCGGAATGAGGGGCCAGGACCGCCGCCCCGCGGACCCCTGGACCAGCGCAGGAGCCCGGTGGTGCGCGGAGGGGAGGGACGGGGAGGAAGCGAGAGGCGCCCCCCTCCCCGACCGCACCCTGGCCGCCTCAGGGAGGTCCGACCCGCGGCGCTGGGGAGGGGTCGCAGGTTTGCTGGTCCCAGTCTTGCTCGGCCGCTCCGGTCCCCAAAGGTCTGGCCCCAGGAGAGGCTGCCGTCGCTGGTCCCCCCGCCTCAGTCCCCTCTGGGAGCCCGGGGGTCCTGTCCCTGCGGGAAGGAGACCCGCAAAGTCTGGCGGTCGGGGGTCGCTGGTTCCAAGGGCAACAGCGCCACCGCTGGGCGGGCGCGGAGAACGCAGGGTGGGTGGGTGGGGGTCACCCGGAGGGGAGGGGCCGAGCGGGGTGGGGGAAGGGGGGCCCCCAGGGATGGGGGGTCAGCCGGAGGGGGGCGCCGAGCGGGCAGGGACCGGGATGGGGTGGGGGGGCGGTGGGGGCCGGGGTCGCCTAACTCCCAACATCTTAAAGGTACAGCTGCGCGGGGAGGGGAGGGGTCGCCTCGCGAGTGCCTCCTGCCCCCACCCCTACTCCCCACCCTGGGTGCGCAGGGAGTGTCCGCCGTCCTCGGCAGGCCTGGCTTTGGGCGGGGGCAGCCCCTATCAATGGTTCCCTCGGAAGGCAACCTCGGGCTCAGGATGGACAGGGTGGTCACTCTGGGTCCCTCTAGCAACCCCGCCCCCACTCCACCCGCCCCTCCCCCACGCACCTGGTTGGGGGGTGGGGGACGCTCCCTCCTGAGTGAGGCTGGGGGCACCCTGCTGCCCCAGGCCGGCTGCCAGATCTGGAGAAGCCTGCGCGCCGTCCTTGGGTCTCCCAGTCACAGGGCCCCTGGCTTACTGAGGTACCCCTCTGACTAGGGTCTGTCTCTCTAGGGTGACCAGCTCTTTGAAATCTGCCCAGGGCTTTCGGAGCTTTAAGACTGAAGCCCAGAATACCGCTCACACGGGACACCCTCCCCAGCCCTTCCCGCACCCCACCCGCAGCCAGGGCCGGTGCAGGAACTGCATCCTGTCCCACCCAGAGGGACTGTCAGTCTAGGGAGTGAGGACACGCGTGCGTCCCGCCCGGGCGGGCCTGAGGCAGACACTGTCCAGCCTCAGGACATGGCCGGGGCAGCAGGGCAGGGGGAGCAGATGGGCAGGCAGGAGGACTCCATGGGGATGCCAAGGGGTCCTCATGAGTCCTGGAGCAGGGCCGGGGGGCTTCCAAAATCTCCATAGATTCAGCTCTCCCTGCCTTGTCATTGTCCCCCGATTCCCGCAGGCTCAGACAGTAAAGAGTCCGCCTGCAGTGTGAGAGACCAGGGTTCGATCCCTGGGCCGGGAGGATCCCCGGGAGGAGGGCATGGCAACCCACTGCAGTATTCTCACCTGGGAAGCCCATGGACAGAGCTGCCTGGCAGGCTACAGTCCGTGGGGTCACAAAGAGTCGGACACGACTGAACAACAGCTGCCGGGGAGTCATGGCAAGGTAGTGGTGTGAGACATTTTGGGTCATCGTGTGCAGTCAGACGGCCAGACTCAGGAGTTCCGCTCTGCCACCTCCTGCAGCCAGCTAGGAGACCTTCTCGGCCTCCTTCTGTGCGACTGGGACAGCTGCCGCAGCTGCTCCACAAGGCCGGGGACTGACCTGGCTGATGCAGGATGGAAGGTCTCAGCAAATCTCCATGCTACTGCAGACTGAGATGGGTTAAAAATATCACCCAGCATAATGTGACGGTATCGTAGCGAATAACTGGCAAGACCCTCCAGGCTGGCATCCCCTCTGCCCTGTGGCCGAGCAGCCGTGTGGAGGCCACGAGTGCCTTGACAACGCCCGCATCTCGTGCAGGTGTGACTGGGAGCCGGGTGGGGACAGCACGCTGTGTAGACAGTGTCTCACAGCAAGTACTTTCACATCTGCTTTCCTCAGAGAAATAAAACACAGAGTGGTCCTGACGTTCAGAATGATGTTCAGGATCTTAGTCACGAAAGCAGGTCATGAAGCAAGTCATGAAACCCATCTAACCTTGGGATCTAATTTGAAGGGATTTTAGTGATGTCTCCGTCTAACCCTGGGCTGGATCCTATCAGAGTCAGATAAGGTAACAGTGCAACAGAAATGTAACCATGTAAAGCGGAGTGATACAATATGATGCAATGTAATTATCTTAGCTCAACTGCCAGTACAACAAGATGCAGGCTGGGTCGCAGTGTTCTAAGTCAGGAGAAGACAGGCGGCGCTCCGAAGCCCGGTCCAGGCCCCCAGCAGCCCCTCTGCTCACACCTGCCAGCAAAGACGCTGGCGTCCCAGAGCTTCAGTCCAGGAGCGGCCCCGGTCGTCCGCCCCTGTGCCCCTGGACACGGGGGTGCCCGGGTCCCCCCCTGCTCTCCAGCCTCTGTAAAACCTGTAGGCTCGTGGCCTTTGTTTCGCCTGGAACCTGAGGGCTTCTACCTGCAGAGACCTGGAACCGAGTCTCCGCCAGCCGACCCCAGTCACCAAAGGTGCAATTCTTTTGAGCGAAGGTGACCACGTCCACCCTCCCAAGCACTCCCAAGGACTAGGAGTTCTTTGGAGGGGACCAGGGAAATCATTTGGAATTTCACCCCTAGCTGGACTGGGATAGGGTGGTGAGTCTCCACTGGAGGAGGGGTTCCCACTCCCCCTCCGACCTGCCTCCATCAGTCTCTCCATCTCTTTTTATCTTCGGCCACAGGAGGGAGCATGGAGGCCTTGGTGAGCTGGACAGGGAGCCCCTGCAGCCTCTACCCTCCCTAACACTTTTGAAAATGGGCCATGAAAAGTGTGACGAAGGAGAACTATTTTTCTTGAACATTACCAGCATGACCGCTTCGAGGCACAAAGTAAGGAAACCCCCACGTCTTGAACAGAAGCTGTGATGGTTTTGTCAGCGTGGCTAGGCGTCCCTCTCGTTGCAGTTACTGTATTTTTGGTGAACGTGTTCTGCAGACGTGGTTAATGGCTAGAGTTGGCTGCCAATGAAGGTGATTGTCCACAGTGAGGTGTAAGCCTCCTCACGGGTCCTCACGAGACAGACCTCCTCCTCGTCATAGGAGGGCCCCAGTTCCATTCCAGGCCCCACCTTCACCACCTCCCACCCTAATCACCTCCCAAAGACCCACCGCCGACACCATCCCATCGGGACTCAGGGCTTCCACATGTGGGTGGGGGACACAAATGTTCAGTCCACAGCAAGGACCTTGAAGAGGTCCCCCTGGGTTGCCTGGGTGGGCTCCGGATGCCGTCACAGGGGGCTTTGGAAGAGGGAGGCAGAGGGCGGGCTGACAAATGGAGAAGGTGATGGGAGGGCAGTTGGGTTGGGGTGTGAAGGTGCTGGACCTCAAGGCTGGACCGAGGTGGCCGTGAGCCAAGGAGCGCCAGCCGCCGCCGGAAGCTGGAAGATGAGGAGCAGACTCCCTGCTAGAGCCTCCGTGATGGACCTGGAGCAGCCCACACCTGGACGGGAGGACCCTGCCCCTCCAGGAGGGAGCGGGGTGGGCAGGGGGGGCTAGTCCCGGGGCAGGGCAGGGGGAGAGAGACCCATGGAGGCTGGGGCGAGCTCCGGGAAGGTCCTGCCCACACGTCCCTAGGGCTCCTCCGCTCAGCCTCCTGGCTGGTCTCCTCGGATGCCTCCCCGGTTCGGCCCCTCCCCCAGCTGACGAAGCCCCCAGGTCAGAGGTGACCCTCCCCCCACCCTTACACCCTCCCCCGTTGAGCCCGTCCCTCACCCGCGTGAGGAGTGAGTCTGGCCGCTGGGGCTGAGCTGTTCAGCAGAGGCTGATGCAGAGCTAGAGGGCGAGGGCCTGAGAGCTGCCCCCCGCACCCACGTCCCGCGGTCCTCTAACCGCTTCCTGAGAGTGGAGAGCGTCCCAGACCACCGGCTGCAGGAGGAGACACAGGGGTCCTACCTGCAACACTATTTGTTCAGTTCAATTTCTGATTGTTTTCCACTATTTAGTCTACGCGACCTTGGCTTTGGACGTTGACCTTGCATCCCCTGACCTTGCTGCTCTGAGGGGTTAGTTCTAGCCCCTCTTTCTGTGGCTCCTTTGGGGTTTTCTGCATTGACAGTGATGTCACCTGGGAACAGAGAATCTCATTTCTTACTTTCTGATCTGCCTGCTGTTTCCCTGTCTCCTCCTTGTTCGGACTAGAACCTTCAGGATGGTGTTGAATAGTGGCATTGAGAGGCTCACCCCTGCCTCCTTCCTGACCCCGTGGGGCAGCGTTCAGTCGTCCACTGTTAAGTGTGATGGCACTTGGAGATGTGTCATTGGTGCTGTTTATAAGTTTGAAGACTGTCATCCCTTCCTCTCCTAGTTTGCTGAAACCATTTACCAGGACCGTACGTTGGCTTTTAAATTTGTGTATCACAATGCACTCTTCTTTCAAAACATTGTTGGACTCAATTTTCTAAAATCTGTCAACAGTTTTTTCACTTGTGTTCATGAGGAACACTGTGCTCGGTGTTTTACACAGGACGTGTTTGGTTTGGGGGTCGCGGCGACGCTGGCTTCACACACTGAGTTGAAAATTTTTCTTTCCCCTCCAGTTTCTGAAGAAGTTCCTGTGGACCCAGCGACTTCTCCTTAGACATGTGGCTGTGGACAGCAGGGAAGCCATCTGGGCCCGGGGCTCCCTGTTGGGAAGACGTCTGGAAACAGCTGCTCGTTCGTACGTGGGACACCGGGGTTCTCTCTCTCCTTCCCAGCGCGCTGCGGGGCTTCATCTTTCAGGGCTTTGTCTGTGTCGTCCTGGCTGTTGACTTACTGTCATAAAGTTGTTCCAGTCGGCACCCCTGTTCTCCACATCCTGGGTCTCTGGTTTCCATGCGTCTCTGCCCAGTGGATCCAGATGGTGGGGTCACCCCGTCAGCGCCAGCCCCCAAACCAGCGTTCCCTCTGGGAGAAACGCAAAGCCGCGGGGCCCACGGAGGGTGCAGTGGGGCTGTCCCCCCAGGGAGGGCCCATCCTAGCACACCCCGCCCTAGGACACTCCTAGCACACCCCGTCGTAGCACACTCCTAGCACACTCCATCCGCGCACACTCCTAGCACACCCCTCGCACACTCCATCCTCTCACACCCCTCGCACACTCCATCCTCGCACACTCCTCGCACACTCCTTGCACACTCCATCCTTGCACACCCCTCGCACACTCCATCCGCGCACACCCCTCGCACACCCCGGTTGCTCTGGCCACCTCGCCGGGCTCCAGGGGCTCCAGCAGGCAACAGCCAGCCCGTTCTCCTCTGTCTCTACAGCTTGTGAGGCCGACTCCCCTGAAGGCGGGGGTGACTCTGCATTCCAGAGCCACAGCCCAGGACCAGGAAGGGTTGCCGTGAGCTCCCACCCCCCAGCGGGAGGAAGACGTCGCCTCAGGGAGGCAGCCCGCCTCCCCCGCCAGAGGCCTCACCTCCCCCCGCCTCTCTGGTGCTGGGGCGCAGGGCCCTGGAGACCCCCTTGAGGCCCCCCAGGTGCTGCCCTCAGTCTCCTGCTCCCAGTCGATGGCCGCACCCACCCCCGTCTTCCACAACCAGGCGCCCTTTGGTCTGTTTTCTGTTTGCAGCACCCCCTGCCCTCCTGCACCCCCATCATCCCAGCAACAGGTTCCTGAAGTTCGGATGCTTCCTGCACCCATAACCACCCCTCCCTCCCCTTCCAGAGCAGCTGCCGGGCTTGGAGACACATGGCTTGATTTACTGAGTAATTGGTATGATAGGATCCCTACCATCAAGGTTTTCAAGACTATGTCTGTGAACATAGTCCCAGACTATGTCTGGGAGTCCCATGTGCCCTCGCGATAACTGCAGCTGCTCCGGGCTCAGACACCACGGAGGGCAGGTGTCCGACATCCGCGGCTCCCTGTCCTCAGCGATCCTCACAGCGGTGCTCCCACTGTTGTGAGCACGGAGACAGAACCTCAGGAATCATGTGGTTTTATCACAGGCGCACAACTGAGGCGTCAGGATGTGAGCCTGGGCCTGTTTTGTTAAAGTCTGCTTTCAACACCCTACACCCATCTGCCCATCTCCCTACATCCGGGAAAATTCTAGAAATTCGGAGAGAGACTTGCTGTCTCTGCACCGGGAACTGCTGAAGGCTCTCAAGCACTTTATCAGAGCGGCGCTGACGCAGTGGGTGAGCAGGTCTGGGTGTCGGCTCTCTCCCTGCTGCAGTTCTTAGCATTGACTAAGTATGAGAATCTGGCTCCTGCCTTCGGCTAAGACACCTAATTTCAGGTTCACGTGGAAAACTCAAGGGCAGGTGCCGAGGAAGCCAGGAGAGAGCCCAGCCAACCGTGAAGTGCGGCAACTTGCTCTGGGGTAAGTTGCGGGCACCTTTAGGGTGGATCCCAGAGAACTCAGGCCTGGGGATCCATCTCTCTTTTTTTTTGGAATCTCCGTTTTTCTTTCTTAAGCATAAATAGATAAAATCAGATGTCACAACGACAACAAAATTGCCGGTGGAGAGGAGAGCTGAGTGACCTGTGGGTTAGACTCCGTTTTTGTCTCCCAGGGGCTTCCCTGGTGGCTGTCGGTAAAGAATCCGCCTGCAATGCAGGAAACCAGGGTTCGATCCCTGGGTTGGGAGGATCCCCTGGAGAAGGGAATAGCAACCCACTCCAGTACGCTTGCCTGGAGAATCCCATGCACAGAGGAGCCTGGTGGGCTCGGTCCACGGGCACGACTGAGCGGCTGACACTTGCGTTTCCCAGACAAGCTCTCAGTCAGCCGACAGGCCTCGACACTGATGCTCTGACCTCACAGTGGCCCCGGGCTTGATGGCCGCCCCGAGCTTCCAGAGCGAAAGGAATTGGGTCGTGCCCACGCTCGTTAGCCGCTCAGGTCGTGCGTCAGCCGCGGCTCCTGCTGCCTGAGGGGCTGCGCCTTCCCAGCCTTTCTCGTCACCACGGCCACCGGGACCCTCCCGGGGGCAGCAGGAGCCACACGGGGCCCCGGAGGGTCCCACTGTGCCTTCTGCCCAGCCCTGGCGTCATGGAGAGGGCACAGCAGGCAGCAGACATCGGCCGTTATGTTGAAAAGCTGAGAACCCTCTGCTGTCCAGTGGTTAAGAATCCCCCTACCGCCGCGGGGGACGTGAGTTCATCCCCTGGTCCGGAAAGACCCCACCTTCTGCAGGGCGGCTGAGCCGTGAGCCCCAGCTCCTGAGCCTGGGCACCCGGAGCCCGCTCGGCAGGAGGGGGAGCCCCCGCAGTGAGGGGCCCGGCTCCCCAGCAAAGAGTGACCCCCTTCCTGCAACTGGAGAAAGGCCACGCTCAGTACCAAAGACCCAGCGCCACCAGAATAGATAAATAATTTTCTAAAAAATAAGAGAGGACTCTTTTTAGAAAATGAAGGGGGGGAAAGAAAGGCAAAAGGGACATGGGTTCAGCATGTACGTGATCCTGAGCGGCAGACGCTGTCCAAGGCCCCCGCGGGCTCTGCCCAGCGCGACCGTCAGGACCGACCCTGGGGGTGGACGCCCTCACTCGGCCCATCACAGCTGAGCGCGGGGTCTGGCCCCGCCCTGGAGGGGCTGAGCCCCCGGAGGCCCTTCTCCTCCTTCAGAGGTGTCCTGCTGGGGCAGAGGTCGGGTCTCACAGGGCTAGGCAGAGGTGGACTGTGGCCGTCACAGCCAAGGAGAGGACAGGGACCCTGCTGGGCACAGTCAGCAGTGGGTGGACATGCAGCCGGGAACGGGGAGCAGGTCGCTGAGCTCACCCGCAGGGCCCGGCCTTGATCACAATCTGCCAATCGCCTTTCCACACCGGAGGCCCTGGTCCAGCGGGGCCTCCCCCGGTGGCCTGGACGCGTGTTCTCACAGCACCCATGTGTAGACGGAGGCCCCGTCTCCATGGGGACACATGGCCCTGGATCACTGCTGCCAACGCCGTCCTAAAGCCCCCCTGGGACCCACCTGCCAGGGAACAGAAGCCGGCTCACAGGGGACAGCCCTCAGCCCCCAGCACGGGGAAGACCAGCACGTTACCGCTGCCTCCCAGCCCGCGGCCGCTCCTGTCCGCGCAGAGCTGTGCTCACGGGTGCGGGGGGCTGGGCCACGCCCCCACGTTCACGGTGCAGCCCCAACCCCCGAGGGGTGGTTGGCAGACAGGAGCAGCTGAGGTGACGGGAGGGCGGCAGGGTGGCCCCTGACCTGAAGGGACCCCTGCCCTTGTAAGAAGAGACCCCAGAGCTGGCTCTGCCGGGCAAGGCCACAGCGAGCAGGCAGCCGGCCGAAGAGCCCCGCAGCGCCCCGGGCACACCGGCACCCCGCGCTGGACGCCCACCCTCAGACTGCGGGAGAGACGCCTCGTTTCAGCTGCCTCATCCGCAGTGCTTGTTTGGGGCTAAGACAGAGAGCCACCCAGAGCCCTCCAAAGCCTCCGCCACCTTTAGCTGAATGGGAGGCCTTCACTTGCCAAACAGGCCAGAAAGAAACCCACGACCAGAGAGGCACGGGTGGGCTCAGCCGGAGCCATCCACCTGTGAGGGAGCGTAGATGGTGTGATCCCTTCTGTGTGGATGGCGGGGTCCCCTCTGCATGGATGGCGGGGTCCCCTCTCCCCTGGGTGACTGGGTCCCCTCTTCCCTGGATGGCAGGGTCCCTTTTGCCCCAGATGGTGGGGTCTCCTCTGCCCCGGATGGCTGGGTCCCCTCTTCCCTGGATGGCAGGGTCCCTTTTGCCCCAGATGGTGGGGTCTCCTCTGCCCCGGATGGCTGGGTCCCCTCTGCATGGATGGCGGGGTCCCCTCTCCCCCGGGTGACTGGGTCCCCTCTTCCCTGGATGGCAGGGTCCCTTTTGCCCCAGATGGTGGGGTCTCCTCTGCCCCGGATGGCTGGGTCCCCTCTGCATGGATGGCGGGGTCCCCTCTCCCCCGGGTGACTGGGTCCCCTCTTCCCTGGATGGCAGGGTCCCTTTTGCCCCAGATGGTGGGGTCTCCTCTGCCCCGGATGGCTGGGTCTCCTCTGCATGGATGGCGGGGTCCCCTCTGCCCCGGGTGGCCAGGTCTCCCCTGCCCCAGGTGGCTGGGGCTTCTCTGCCCCAGATGGTGAGGTCCCCTCTGCATGGATGCTGGAGTCCCCTCTGCCCTGGATGCTGGGGGGTCCTCTGCCCCGGAGGGCGGGGGGTCTCTGCGGTTGGCCGGGTCCCCTCTGCCCGAAGGGGAAGGCGCGCCCAGAGCCCACAGTTGTCAGGGCAGCCGCTGCAGCCCCGCACCTCCTCACCCTGGTGTCACCAAGGCTGCTTCGGGGACAGCAGCACCTTCACGACAGACGTGTCCCTTTCACCTGCAGAGAGAAGGTCTCTGCAGCAGAGACAGTGTCTTGATGGACTCTCCCTCTGATGACAAACCAGCGCCTCCTGCTTGGAAGCTGTCAAGCCCTTCAGTGTAAAGACTTCAGAGGCACCAACCACTCAGGTGCTGGGAGACAAGAAAGCTGGGATTCCCAGGAGGGGAAAGAGAGAAGGGGTGACTCCCTGGGCTTTGGGGAACGTTTGAAAGTTAAAAGCAGGGTTCTGTTTTGCCACTGAGATGCAAGCGTGTCAGAAAGCTCTTGTCTTCCTGCGTCGCCGCCCTGAGGCTCAACAGCGTCTCATGCTGAAATCCACTCCCTGGAGGACACAGGATGTCCTCCGTCACTGAGGCCTGGAGGGCAGGTGGCTGCTTGTGTGGGTCAATTGCATTTCTCTTTTCAGAACTTCCACGGCCACAGCGTGGCCCAAGGAGACCCTGGCCCACCATCATCCCGTCGCCCGGGGCCTTTGCCCCCTTGGCCACGGCCCCCATCCCTCGCCGACCCAAGAGGGGCAGCCAGCTCCCTCTGAATTAAAACTGTAATGCATCCGTCCCATTTACACAAAGCCTTGGCTTTGACACATGCAATTACTATGAACACAGAGGCAACATGATTGCTAAGGGCTCCAGAAAGAGAGTTTAATCAGCAGACGTGGGTTTCTCCGGGCCGATTTATAATTTCACTCCTTGCTATTCCTTTATGTTCTTATGTGTTCAGATAATTAGATACACTAGTTCTTGCTTCCCGAGAGGCCAGAAAGGGCAAAATTCCTATTCTTTTTACATTAGAAAGATTAAATTATAATATAGAAAATCTGTAACTTTGGGTAGAAATGACAAATTCACACTACATTAATTTCAGTGCTTACAAAATGTTACAAATAATTTGTGCGTCCTCTCCTCTCTTGTAGGTGCATGTGAATTAATTACCTATCCAATTTCAATGTCTTTCAAGTCAGCTTTCCACAGACAACTCTGAAATTAAAAGAAAATAAGGTTTGATTTCCATTTGCCAAGTATATTTGTTTGAGATGTTTAACCATTTAAGCCCATGTACATGTCCCTGAGAACATGGACACGAACAAATGTGCCCACTTACAATGCCCACTTACTTCTCCGTGGGAAGCCGCAGAGTTCCGGGGCTGGTAACTAGGAAGGGAAGGACAAACCTCCGTCCCACGCCACCAGCAGGAGGGACTCACCCAACGCCCAAAGGAGCGGTGTGGGCACCCTGGTCAGTGCTCAGTGACGCCAGAAAGAGGCGTCTCCCCAGGGCTCAAGCCACACGTTGTTGGAGGGGGGCGGTGTCTAGGAGTGGTTCCAGGTCCACTGATTTTTGCAAACAACAACAGATTGAGCCTGGCTTCTGCACCCCGGGTACCTAGTGGGCAAGTCGGGGGCTGGGACAGGTGGCCCCTCACCTGCAAGCTGACCCAGAACTCTCTGAGATAGGATAAAGGATGGGGTGTTGGGGTGACTCCTCTGTACCCCCTCATTTCCCTGTCTCTCCCCGTCCCTGTCTCCCTCATCCATCCCTGTCTCCCCCATTCCTGTCTCTCCCCGTCCCTGTCTGTCCCCCCACCCCTGTCTCTCCCCCCCCCATCCCATCTCTATCCCATCTCTACCCCATCTCTCCCTTCTGTCCACTTCCTGCCCTGATGTCTTTGGGTCCCTGGATGAAGAGCTCATACACAAGGTGGGCACAGGGTCCAGTCCTGTTTAAGGGGACTGTCCTGTGACCCTCCCACTCTCCTTGGGGGAAAGCCCCCCCAGAGTCAGCGGGGCCCTGGGCCTGCTGTCCAGGGGCCGCAGCAGGTGGGGTGGCCCTGGTCAGAGCGGGGGTGGGGGGGGAGACAGTGCCATGTGGGGGGACCTGAGCCCTCTCTCAGCGGCAGGGGCCACAGGGACTGCGCCCAGCACCCCAGCCTCAGCCTTCTGCAGCCAGCTCCGGGGGGGAGAGGGGCCTTGAGCGACCATGCGGGCGCCTCTAACACCCCGGGGCGAGGGCAGGTCCGCGCGGCCTCTGCCGGTCCTCCCAGGAGAGCGGGCGCTCCGCCCCGGAGCCAGGGAGGCGGGCGGGGAAGCCCTTGGCCTCTCTTAGGCCCGCAGGAGCCCGTGTGCTAGAATGCAGCCGCCGACCCACCTCGGCTGTGCCGGTGGGCCCGGGTGTCCGGGCACCTGCCCGGGGCCGAGCCGCTCGTCCCCGCCGCCCCGCCCCCGCGACCCCGGAGCCCAGCGCTGCTGCTCTGCCCGGCGGCTTCACGCGCGGAGGCGGAGGGGCGCCAGAGGGCGCTGTGGGCTCGGCCGCGGCCAGGCCCGCGGGAGCCCGGAGCCAGGGAAACGCCCGGGACCCTCGCTGGCCCAGGGCTGGGGCAGCTCGGGACAGCGCGGTATGGCCATACCCGCGCGGCCCACCCCCTCGAGGGACCCCGCCCCCGCCCATCACCCTTCTCTGCTCTCCTCCGCTCAGCAGAGACGCACACACGTGCACGCAGACAGGCTGCCCGGGACCGAGATTGCACACATGCTCGCACACGCACACTCCAGGCACGTGCACATATGTACACACGGTGTGGGCACACTCAGATACACGCAGAGACGTAGATGACACACGCACACCAGGCACGTGCACTCCCCTGCACCCTCAGGGCAGACACCTCCACCCAGGAGGGTCGGGCTCTGGGGGGACGGAGGCCCTCAGGGAAGCCCAGGTCCCGGCCCCAGTCCCCGGGCGCCGGCGCCTGCCCTGGGGACATCTTTCCCTGGAGCCTGAGGGAGGAGGGCCGAAGTGACCTGTTCTCTCTCTGCAGGGACCCGAGCTTTCGGGGAGGCGGGCGGCAGCCTCGGTCCAGCCCCTGGGTCTGCACTTGGGACTGGGGCGCCCCGAGCCCCGCCTCCTGAGACCGAGTCTGGGCCCTGTGCCAGCGCTAGAAAGGGGTGAGCTGCTCCGGCCCGGGGCGGGCGCAAGGCCAGGCTTCAGGCGGGCACAGGGGCACGTGCCACCGCCCCAGCCACAGAACCAGAAACTGCCTTTGCGGCAGGACGACCGGCACCCAGTCCGGAAGGTGCAGAAGGCCAGGCCAAGCTTGTGTCCCTGGTGAACTGCGTCCAGACACCCACTCCTGGACACGCAGCTTCCTCGGCTGCTGCCCTCACGTGGGGCTTCTGGGGACGGGCCTCAGAACGTGTGCTGAGCACAGGAGTCCGGGGGTGACGGCCAGTGCGCACTCCCCTCCGCATCCCATCCACTGGACTCCTCATCCGGGGGATGGGGTCTGGCCTCTCTCCCACAGCCCCCAGGGTGGAGGGAGCCCGCAGGTCAGCACCCTAGGCATGCGGGCCCCCACTGCTGCCCTGGCCCCCTCTGGGCCTCTGTCTGTCCCAGCTGGGCCGCAGACAGGGGGGCTCCAGGGGGCTCCCTTCTCCTCTCGAGAAAAGCTGGGTCTTGACACCCTCCCCAAGTGCCTTACAAACCCATGCAAACACGAGTTAAGCTGCCCACGGGTGCAGACAGCGGCCGCCGCAGATCACAGCGCCTCGGGGACATGGTTTGTGGGAGTCCAGAGTGAGCCGTCCACAGTGGGTCACCCCCAGAGGGAACGCTTTGAGCTGAAGGCGATCGGGAAACGCTGACGGTGGTCCCTCTGCCTGAAGGAGACCAGCTCCCTGTGAGGGGCCCACTATGGAGCCTCGCGTGAGGGGCCTGAGATGCTGGGGGGGGCCGGCCCTCCCACACGGCCCCTTTCTCTGTCTTGTCAGCTCCTGAAATGCATCCTTCTTTATCAAATGGCACAGATCCCCCAAGCCTAGCCACTTCTCTGGGGCTTTACCTTCTGTGAAGCCGCCGCCCCCAAGCACGTAAGTAGAGCGTTCGTCTCATGCTCGGTCATGTCTGACTCTCTGCAACCCCGTGGACTGCAGCCCACCAGGCTCCTCTGTCCGTGGGATTCTCCAGGCAAGAACACTGGAGTGGGTTGCCATTTCCTCCTCCAGGGGATCATCCTGACCCAGGAATCAAACCCACATCTTCCCACCAAGGAAGCCCTAAGGTGTATAAAACCAACGTCACATAGATGTTTGTTCCTTCCTCCTGAGACTGTCTGTGCTCAGACTATGTCACAGACCCAGCAGAGGGCCCAGGACGGCTGAGAAAACCCTCCCTGCGACACACAGCTTCAAGAAGGGTGTCTCCCAGAGGGCCCTCAAGGGGGTGGCCGGGGGTGGGGGGTGGGCTGTCCCCTGGGCCCTGGCAGCCACGAGTGACAGGTGGGACCCAGGAGAGAGAACGGGACCACCCTGACGGGGGCCGACCCCAGGGGCACACCCCCCAAGGGCTCCGAGGCAGCCAAGGCAGGCACCCCAGGCCACGTCCACCCCGGCCTGTGCAGAACCCCACAGCTCAGGCTGGCCTGCGTCTGAGGCCTAAGTCCCTGCGATCCCTCTAGAGGGGAAGCGCCTTGATATCAGGTGTGGGTGGGTGCCCGGAAGGGGAGGGAGGAAAACGATGAAATTAATGCCGATCAGAAAAATACATTTTATTGTACTTTTTGAGAATGAAATGAGCACTGTAGACACGTGCAAAGCCCTGTAACCGGTCAGAGCAGCGCGAGAGGACGGAGCCTGGCTGCCCACCACCGCTTCTCTGGACGCGCATGCACCGTGGGTCCCGCCCGCCAATGCCTCCCGCCTGCCCACCGCAGCTCCTTCGTGCCCGGATGTCCACGCCGTGTCACAGGGTGTGGTCGGGACCCGTTCAGTGCGGGGGAGATGAACAGGTCCCCTCTTGATGCTTGTATATCCTGACTAAGGACCCACTGGGAGATGAAGCAGACGTCGCTCAATGCCAGGAGCTGGCACACGAGCTCCCACTCGTGACAAGGTCATGAGGAGAAAGCCTGACGGGCAAGGCGGATCAGACTTTCAGGGATTCTGAAAAGCTGCCCCCGGCGCTCACCTTAAAGATGATATCTGTCTTTCTGATGCCTGCCTCAATGGACTACTGCCTAATTTCTGTGACACAGGCAGAGGGCCTTCCCCGATCTCTTCCCAAAAAAGAATCAATTTAGAACTTTAATCTATAAGTTTCCCAGGTGGTGGTATTTTATGAGATTATCCAGGGTGAAAGGAGTGTTTTAATTTAAACTCCTTTGCTGGTAGTTTGTTAGCCAAATGCATTTATGCGCTTGGTACTAATATGCATAATTGCTTATAATATCCTAATCATAAAATAGCATAAAGAACCTGATTATATAAAAGCCCTAATAGACATAGAGCATTTTTGAGGGGTGAAGGAGTCCTATTAGAAAACATTAAAGAAAAATTATTCTCAAGGTGGTTATTGGGTTGACGTTTGCTTGCTGTGTTTTGCTTGCTGTGTTTTTGCTCTTAATGTGCAAAGGTTGTGTTATAGAAACCATTGTTAGTATAGTTATAGATCTAGAAAAATAAGAGCTTAGCCCTAGTGTGGTAACAATGAGATGGTTGCTAATTGTCAGCCAGGAGTGCTAGGCAGAGGCTGCCTCACTGAAGCTGCAGTTTGTGTGGGGGTAAACTTCTTAGATAAACTCAGCTGACAACTTCTGCAGAAGGATTAATTTTTGTGTTAACAAGGTTATACTTCCACTCTGTACTGTTGCCCTATGAGACTGCTACCTTTCAGTTAAGGTCACCAGAGAAACAGAAAATAGGCTTATATTCACCTGACCTGCATAAAACGCTAATATGCCCCAAGGCCAGAAGATAATGTACAAGACCCTCATAAACAAAGAAGTATGCAGAAAACACCCTGGTTTCGTGAAGGACAAGCTGACGTAATGTTAAACTATCTTCCCCTTAGAGATGTACTAATTAGGGTATAAAAGCCATGGTAAAAAATAAAGCATTGCCAGACTCTGCCAGACCCTGCAAACACCCCCGTGTGGTCTCTCTCTCTCTCCTTCTCTCTCTCTCCCTCGCAGACTTGGCCCCATCAAGGCTGGTCTCACGTGTCTTCTCTCGCCGACACTGTGCATCCTGAGGGTCCCCCTGGATCCTGCTGGGGCTGGACCCCAGCAGCTCAAGGCGATGCCCAGTCAGATTTGCATCACTTTGTTCAGGGCCATTGCATGGACCTTCGTATCAGAACTAGTCAGAACGTCTGCACCTTTGTGTGGTACCATCACCAGCTTTCTTAAATGGCTTGGGCGTTGTCTAGGAACGGGGTCTCCGTGGGGGTAGTTCTTCTGGGACAAGGCGGGGGACTGGAGACACGCGCATTTCAATGTCGGTTTAGGGAAAAGTGGAAAATCTTGAACATACTTCCAAAAATCTGGTTGACACTGTTTTACAAGGATCCCTGTTGGTGATGGGGGTGACCCAGAGTCGGGTTAAATGCATATTTCTCACTTGATTCCTGGCTTCGTTTGTGCAATGGCACCTGAACTTGAAGGAGAACGGGCGAAAAGAAATCAGGCCCTTTGCGGATCCTCTTAAAAGAAACCAGGAAGCCAGAACTGCAGCTCTGTCAGGAGGCGGGAGTGGCGGGGGGCACACCCGGAAGTCTGCCTCTCCCTCCGAAGTGTAGGTGACGGCATCCCTGCTCACTTTCATTTTCTCTCCATTTTACGGTCTGAATCCCCAGAGCGTGCCTATTAACTTTATGATTGGGACAGAGACAAAGGCGGCAGGATGCTCCCTAAGATCTTGGAGGAGAGTCACCGCAGTCCCAAGGGGCAGCCCCAGACAGGGCGGCGTCCGCAAGGAGGGCAGAGACGCCGAGCAGGACCCCAGCCCACCCCCTCTCTCCCCGTCCCTGTGCGGGAAAGACCCCCACCGATGGGCTCAAATCCTGGGTCTCCTGAGGCCCCTCCTCCCTGCTCCCCGCTGAGGGCCTGCCCGCCCTCCCGCAGCTGGTCAGGGTCCTTCGGGCCTCAGTGAGCCCCCCAAACCATCACCCGCCCTATGCACCTGCCTCCCACGGGCAGCCCCCAGCCGCGGGCCCCTGCAGACCCTGGCTGCTCCCCCTCACCAGGCCTCCCCTGAGTGCCCTTCCCCCCTCCCCCTCCCCCAGCACACCCCACTCTTCCTCTCCAACCCCCCAAACCCCCCACAAAACCCACCGCCACCACCTCAGATGGGCAGGCGGGCAGGGCAGGGGCAGGCGCCCACTGAGCCCCGTTCCAGGATAGGCGAGTGAACCGTCACCTCCTATCCACACCCGCTCCGGCCGTCCCGGGAGCCCAAGCGCTGAGGGCGTCTGCGCTCACACGGGATGCTGCCCCGGGCCCGAAGCCCGGTCGGGGACGTGGGGGCCCCTGGGGCCCGCCCGGAGGAAGGGGCTGCCTCGAGCAGCTGGAATGTTGGAGGACCAGCCTCGGGGGTAGACGCCGGGCGGAGCCGCGGCCGCTCCGGGAAGCGGCCCGGCTCTGCGGACCACACGGTGGCGCTGGGGACCGCGATCCAGGGGCTTCGGGGGCGGTTTCCTCCGCAGAGCGGGTTCCGCGCTGAGGTCGGGAGCAAGCGAGGCCCCAACGCGGCGGGAAAACAGAGTGGGAGCCGGCGGGGAAGGCGGGACTCTGGGTTAGGTCTCGCCCACAGGGGCTTCCCCGGGGGCTCAGCCGGTAAAGAATCCACCTGCAAAGCGGGAGACCTGGGTTCCGTCCCTGGGTTGGGAAGATCCCCTGGAGAAGGGAAAGGCTGCCCACTCCAGGATTCCGGCCTGAAGAATCCCATGGACTGTCCATGGGGTCGCAAAAAGTCTGACACGACTGAGCGACTTTCACTTCATTTCCAGCACCTCCCTGAAAATAACCGTGACGGGTGTTCAAGGACCGAAGAGGTGCCCTGACGCATCCTGCAGCGAAAGCTGCAAGCCGCTCAGCAGAAGGAACAGTGTGGGCCCGCCTAAAGGCTTTCTTTTAAAACCTCTTTTGAAGAGTGACGGTGGTTCCTGGTACCGTCCTCGGGGTGAGGGGTGAGGAAGTCTCCTTTCCTGTTTCAGCACATTCCTGCCCCCACCCCGAGGAATTGTGCAGGCCTCGTTTCAACAGAACCGGAGTCCTCTGAATCACGGGCCCCTCGGGCCCGGCGACGGCCTCAGAGCAGCCCCGTCCTCCCCGTCCTGGGATCGGCGTCCCCAGGTGGCCCCTCTGAGGTTCTAGGAGGCCCAGGGCTTCCTCCCTGGGGTCTCACTGGCGACCACACGCTTGTTCCCTTCTCTCGCTGGCTTGCCTGGCGAGTGGGGCTGCCCCCACGCCTCCTGTGACACATTCCGAGGTTGACAAGCCCCGCTCCTGAACCACCAGTGAGTCAGCGTTGCCCCCGGGGGCCAGGCCCTCCCACGGGTGCTGAGTCACAGTCCACATTCCAGCGTGCCCCCTGCTGCTCCGGGCCCGAGGACCCTGCAAGGACCAGGCTGGAGCACTCCCCACAGGCCCGGGGCCCACGTCCCTCCCTGAGAGCTGGGGCCGAGTTGCCATCTTGGCCGGGAGGTGGGGGGCGTCCCTTGCACAGGGCACTGTGCCCACCAGCCCCCTGCCCCCCTGGGCGTCTGGCAGAGGTGTGAGTTCACAGCTGCCACAGAGCGAGACCCGCCGGGGCCCGGAGTCCTGGTGCCTCTTTCCCGACTTCACCACCTCAGAGGGCCTGCCCGCGTCCTCGGAGAGTCTGGTCCCAGGCCTCAGGGGTTTTGGGGAGCTCGTCCGGCTGGTTGGCATTTCCGAGGGCCATTCCCGTGTCCTCAGAGGGAGTGACCCTCCAGGGCAGTAAGGAGTGCTCCCAGCGGGGTTTACGGACGGTCGTGGGGGTCGGGCAGGAGCCTCAGTGCTGAGAACCGGCACTGACCCCAGGCGCGCCCCTGCTGGATGCTCGGACCATCGGGAGGCTTCCCCAAGGTCTGCCAGCCGCCGGCCCTCCACTCCGCACACGAAAGCCTCCTCCTCAGTTTTCCCAGGACCCGTGTCGCAGGCTGAATCGCGTCCCCTCCAAGTTCAGAGCTGAAGTCGCCAGCTCCTGTGAACATCTAGGAGATGGGGTCTTCGCAGAGTGATGGGGTTAAAGTGGGGCGTCAGAGCGGCCGAGGACAGAGCAGGGCCGGTGTCCTCACGGGAAGGACGGCTCGTGAACAGAAAGAGCCACACGACCGCTGGACTCTGAGGACGCCTGGGAGGAGGCCTGGAGGGGGGCCTCCCGCGTTCCCAGAGGGGCCCGGCTGCCCATCCTGTGACCTGGGGCTTCGGGCCCTCTGTGCCGGGAGTCCGCAGACGTGGGGGTCCAGGCCCGTCTGCAGACCCCGTCCCGGCCGTGTGACAACCTCTGGCCACCACAGAGGTGCTGCTACCCGGCCGGACCGGACTCGCTCCCAGAGGCTGGGGCTGCCATCCCCGTGGTCAGGGTCCCAGGGCTCATCCTCCAGGTCTAGCCGCTGGCAAAAGGGGGGAGCCCAGAAGAGGAGCACCCCAGTCACTGCTAGCCTGAGGTGATCCCAGCAGAGTGGGGGTGACCAGGGGCTGCAGCTCCCCCGAGCCTGGCGGCCACTCTAGCCTGAGGAAAAGCCGCCCCGTTCCGGGCAGGGGTGGGAGCCCCCCATGTTCTAGGAAGAAGCCCCCCCATCTGGGCAGGGGTGGGTGATCCCCATGGCCTGGGGCTGGCTCCCCACGGTCTGGGGAGAGGCCGCCCCATTCCAGGCAAGACTGGGTGCCCCCCATGGCCTGGGGAGAGGCCGCCCCATTCTGGGCAGGGCTGGGTGTCCCCCATGGTCTAGGGAGAGTCTGCCTGGTTCCGGGCAGGGGTGGGTGTCCCCACGGCCTGGGGAGAGGCCACCCGTTCCGGGCAGGGTTCGATGCCCCCCACGGTCTGGGGAGAGGCCACCCGTTCCGGGCAGGGGTGGGTGCCCCCATGGTCTAGGGAGAGTCTGCCCGGTTCCGGGCAGGGGTGGGTGCCCCCACGGCCTGGGGAGAGGCCACCCGTTCCGGGGAGGGTTGGATGCCCCCCACGGCCTGGGGCCGGCTCCCCAGCGGCCAACTTGCCGTGTCGGTCCCTGTCCTGTGGCGGCGCGGGCCTTGCCGTGGGTTCCCCGCTGGCGCGCTGACGCCTCCTCTCTGGTTTCCCCAGATGGCCTCTCTGAGGTCAGGAATCTCCCCAAGCAGAAAGCAGAACTGTTTTCTAACAGATTTGAGAACTATGAAAAGAATATGAAAACACCCATAGAAGAATGACTAAATTTAACTATATCTGAGTAATCAAAAAAACGTGGGCAGGATGCAAGGGGTGAAAATTAAAACGAAAGGCAAGCAAAACAGAACAGCACCAGGAGTGCGATGGAAGGACCCGTGTCGGTCATGTCTGTTCTTTAAAACTCCTACAGCCCAGCAAGAAAAAGGCAAAAACTCAAGAGATGTGAAGGTGTAATTCAAATACAGGAAATGCAAGTGGACAACAGAACCTGGCCCACTGACCGGCAGTGAGGAGGCACCGTGTGGTCAGCGGGCGCCCGCAAGGGCCGCTTCCGTGGCCAGCAGGTCCCCGGGAGCCTGTGCCTGCCTCACACTGCTGCTTCCCCTCCGGGCTTCCCCATCGCGGCCCTGGGCCCCACAGAGAGGACCCGGCCCCGCCCAGCCTCTCCCAGCCCCTGGAAACCCCTCGGAGCCCCCAGCATGCCCCCGGGGCTCCTGCAGCTGTGCCGGACACACATGCCCCCAGGAGTGTGTCCCTGAGGTGGGGAAGGCCTGGAACTTTCTCCGCCAAGGGAGCTGGGTACCCCCGTCCGGTAGGCACTGCTGGTGTCCCTGTGTCTCGGGGAACGTGGGGGTGCAGGGCCCCCCGGGACGCAGGGAAGCCGCCCGGGTACGAATGTCTACATGGGTGTCGGTGCTCCGCCCCCAGGAAGGTCCCGGCCCCCAGAGGGGTCCCGGGCTTGGGGGCCACTGACGGCTCCCATGCCTGGGCCACAGGGTGTCCGCCCTCGGGGACCCTCTAACCCACCTCCTGCACGGCCCCCACACGCAGCGTGGGGGCAGGCTGCTGGTCTGGGGCACTGGGCTGAGAGACCTCCCCTCGGCCCACCTGCTGGCCTCAAGGCAAGGAGAAAGGGCCTCAGAGAGCCACTTCCGGGCTCCCCTTCGCCCAACAGGTGGGGGGCGCCCGCAGCCCCCAGGGAAGCATGACCTTCAACCCTGATTCCCCTCCTGCTCCAGAGGCAGCAGGCCTGGCCAGGCTCCAGCAGCTCGGGACGACCCCCCCACCCCGGGGACCTGAGACCAGGCGAGGAGGCGGGGGTCCTTCAAGAGAGGCTTGCATCTGGCCTCCTGGGGCAGGGTGACCATCTGCGGTGACAAACCGCCAGGGGCCCTGTGTCACCACGTCACTGCTGGACACTGTGGCCTCCACCAGGGCCCACGAGCTCCGGGTCACCGGGGCAGCAGGGGGTGAGGAGAGGCGCTGGCCCGAGTCACGGCTCGAGCAGGGCCCGCGCGCCGCCTCTCCCCCCAGAGGGGCCGGGCAGGCGCGTGAGCAGAGTCCAGCCCAGGTGCCCGGGCCGGCCTGATGGGGGCCCGGGGGGGCGTCAGGAACCGCTTCCAGGGAGGCAGGGGACTCGGGGGCGGCGTGCTAGGGGCTTCAGGCGGGGGTCACGGGGGCTGACCACCCCCGGAGGGCTGAGAGCGGAGGCCCCCGCCGAGCACGTGCAGGTCTCCGGCCGGCGTGTCCACCAATGGAACCTCCCTCCCGCTCTCAGGGCCGCGAGCAGCCCCGCCACCTCCGTTGGTCTCACGGGCAGCCGTGGCCACCTTGCTGCTCCCTCAGCCCTGCATGTGGGGCTTTGACACCGTGCAGCAAACACCTCCCAGAACAGGCCCTCGGGCAGCTCCATCCCGGCCAGTGGCCGGCTGCCCGTCTCCCAAGAGGCAGATCCTGAAGTTGCCCGTGAACTGTGTGACGATGGGGTGCCCTCGTCAGGGCCCCCGGAGAAGCAGCCTGAGTAGAACGTGTCCACCTGCTGAGGCCAGTCGGGGACCGCCTCATGCCGTCACAAGGGCTGGCCCGTCCCCGGGTCTGCACGGGCAGCCTGGACCTGGGAGAGCCAGTGCTCTGGTTCGGCCTGTGAGCCAGCAGGCTCAAGACCTGGGAAGACCTCAGGCTGCAGTGCCAGCGCCATAGCCAGAAAAGACCAGAGCCCCAGCTCAGACGGTCAGCTGGGGGAGGTGCTCCTCCCAGCACAGCAGCTGACTGGCCAAGGCCCACAGCTCGGGGCAGGCGGTTTGCTCTCCTGTCCACTAACTCACATCCTCCTCTCATCCCAACTGAGGCACTTTTGGCCAAGTGTCTGGGCTTCCCAGGTGGCACTAGTGGTAAAGAACCTGCTGCCAATGCAGGACACGTAAGAACCTCAGGTTCGATCCCTGGGTCAGGAAGATCCCCTGGGGGAGGAAATGGCAGCCCACTCCAGTCTTCTTGCCTGGAGAAGCCCATGGACAGAGGAGCCTGCGGGCCACAGTCCCTGGGGCTGCGGAGAGCCGGACAGGACTGAGTGACCGCGCCGCACACAGGCCCTGGGCTGTGTTCTCACCAGGACCCAGGACCCAGCCACGCTGACAGGTAACATCCGGCGTCGCAGGGGCTTCAGCTTTCCGTTTCCGGTACAGATTTGTAAACGGCTGCACTAAAAAGGGTCTTTTTCTCCACTAACGTAGAAATTAGTTCCTTTGTGGCTCATCTGGTAAAGAATCTGCCCGCAATGCGGGAGACCTGGGTGCGATCCCTGGGTTGGGAAGATCCCCTGGAGAAAGGAAAGACTACCCACTCCAGTGTTCTGGCCTGGAGAATCCCATGGACTGTATGGTCCACGGGTCACAAAGAGTTGGGCATGACTAATCGACTTTCAGTGAAGAAATTGCCCCCTGAGTGGAGTCACTTATGAGTCTGGTGATGTCCCCACTCTGTGCTGACCCCTCAAGAAGCGTTTCTGATCCAGCAGAAAGCACACGGCCGCCTCTCCCGATATGAAGTGGCAGGGAGTGCGGGGGGCCCTCCTGAAGCTGACTCGGGTCATGGGGCGGCTCCAGGGGTGGCATTGGAGGCCAGAGCCAGAGGGGAAGGATTTTGACCCACTGATGTGCAGGCCTCTTGGCTGATTCAGCTGTTTGTTGTTAAACCCCTAAGAAGTTCCTTCTTCACGCTGGGATTTTCTTGGTCACTTCCTTCCACTTTCACGGTTGTTGTGTTACACGAGGATGGGGTTGTTTTCCTGGTAACATCACTTTATAAGTAAGGAAAATAAAATGACATAAAAACAATTAACCCAAAAAATGCTGTTCATAACTGACATGAGCTTCCCTTACATGGAGAGCCACTCCACTGAAGGACACCAATAAACGTGGCAGAGAAACCGGGCGGGGCGCTGGGCCGGCGCCTGGCGGCCGCAGAGAGACCAGGAGGCCTGAGGCGGTCCTGCAGCCCAGGCCCTCCTCTGTCCCGGCCACGCCCGTCCTGGAGTCGGAAGCGCTGAGTCTGGCCTGCAGGGGTCAGAGGAGCCTGACAGGCTACAGTCCACGGGGTCACAAAGAGGCAGACACGACTGACTGAGTAGCACTTTTGTTTTCTTGATGCTTTCTACTTTCAATGTTTTACCGCACACATCTGTGGGCAAATTAGAAATCAGACAGGGCAGTTGCCTGTCCCCCTTAGTCGGGGAGGCGGGGTGGGCTTCTGCACATGAAGCCTCCAATCCAAGACTCACCACCCCTTCCCCATCAACCCAGCCGCCCTCCAGGGACCAGGAGCAGGAGCAGGAGTGGGGTCACTTGTGGAGAAAGGCCCCTCCCCGGAGCAGACCGTGTGGAGCTGAGGTGAGGTCCTTTCCAAACCTGCCTGCCAGCCAGGCCTCTCCCCGCTCCAGAGGGACCCCGAGCGTGCCGCCCCGTCCAGAGGGGGCTCGATGGGGAGAAAGCTCCCGCAGACTCAAGACTCACCCCGAGCAGGAGGTAGAGTGGGGAAGGGGTGAGACAGCCCCTTGGGACAGTGGGGGCTTTTGGTGTTCTCAAACGGAGAAGGGGGTGCACTGGTGTTAGGTGGGTGGGGCCAGACCCTGCTAAACGCGCCCAAACTGCAGAAGGGCTGGGAGGCCTCCCCTCCTGCCTCATCCTCAGGAAATCCTCTCGTCCCAGGCTCCCCCCTCGGGGAGGTGAGACTCCGAGAAGGGACAGAAAGATGGTGGGGTGCGTGTGGACTCAGCGTCAGGAGCCCCAAGCGTGTGCGTCCAGCTCACTACCCCCATGAAGACCCTGAGCTGCTTCCCGCTGAGAGGAAAGAAGCGGCGGCACGCCCAGGTGTGGAGGACCCCTGCCCCTCGAACCTCGCAGACGCAGGTGCCACACAGATGCCACCGCCAGCCGCTCCTTCCACTGATGAGAGCGTAACCTGCCTCGCGACGCCAGAGGGGCTGTTGGGCTGCTCTCTTCTGTCACTTGTGCCTAAAGAGTCACAGCTCAGTTCAGTTCAGTCACTCAGTCCTGTCCGACTCTGCGACCCCATGAAGCACAGCACGCCAGGCCTCCCTGTCCATCACCAATTCCCAGAGTACACCCAAACCCTTGTCCATCGAGTCAGTGATGCCATCCAACCATCTCATCCTCTGTCGTCCCCTTCTTTTCCTGTCCTCAATCTTTCCAGGCATCAGGGTCTTTTCAAATGGGTCAGCTCTTCACATCAGGTGGCCAAAGTACTGCAGTTTCAGCTTCAGCATCAGTCCTTCCAATGAACACCCAGGACTGATCTCCTTTAGGATGGACTGGTTGGCTCTCCTTGCAGTCCAAGGGACTCACAAGAGTTTTCTCCAACACCACACTTCAAACGCATCAATTCTTCAGCGCTCAGCTTTCTTCACAGTCCAGCTCTCACATCCATACATGACCACTGGAAAAACCATAGCCTTGACTAGACGGACCTTTGTTGGCAAAGTAATGTCTCTGCTTTTTAATATGCTATCTAGGTTAGTCATAACTTTCCCTCCGAGGAGTAAGTGTCTTTTAATTTCATGGCTGCAATCACCATCTGCAGTGATTTTGGAGCCCCCAAAAAATAAAGTCAGCCACTATTTCCCCATTTATTTGCCATGAAGTGATGGGACCAGATGCCATGATCTTAGTTTTCTGAACGTTAAGCTTTAAGCCAATATTTTCACTCTCCTCTTTCACTTTCATCAAGAGGCTCTTTAGTTCTTAGCTTTCTGTCATAAGGGTGGTGTCATCTGCATATCTGAGGTTATGATATTTCTCCTGGCAATCTTGATTGCCGCAAGCAGCCATCTGTCCCCCAGGAGGGATGACCTCTTTGGGTGGGCCACTGCCTGCCTGGACTCCTGCCGGATGGAGGGAGGCGTCCATACTCCCTGGCCTCCCTGGGGCCTGGAAGAGAGGACGGTGTCTGCTGGAGATGTGTGAGCCCACCCAGTGCCCCGGTCCTGCCCCCTCCCCCAGGTGAGTCCTTGAAGCCCCCACCGGGAGGCAGTCGCAGGCACTGTCTGTCTCCACGGTTACTCAGACACCACGGGGAGCAGCCCACCCACGGGGCTCCGGGCTGCAGGCCTCCGTCGTCAGGATGACCGCTCCCATGACACCTGCAGCTGAGTAACCACGTGGATGGGACGGGCGCCCCAGGTGCAGACGCCCACCAGCTCTCAGGCGCTGCAGCTTCTTGCTTCCGAAGAACCGCAGCGGCTCCCTGCACCGCTGTGTCCCTTTCTTACTCCTGAGTTTCTGTGGTTCACTCTGCATGTCTTCCAGCCTGTTTTCCAGTCACCAGCTGTGTCTAAACTATTGTTAAACCATTCACTCAGTTTTCAAGTTTTGCTTACTAGAAATTTTTAAATGTAGTCTGGGAAATTCCTTTCTCATAATTTTTAATTTTCTGGTAAATTCTTCATCTCATCTTCTGGACTTTTTTATCCTTAAACGATGCTGCAAATTCTGTTCTGAGGTCTATCTCTGAGCAGCACTGGTCTGGAACTCCGGGGTTGCCATTTCTATTGCCTGTCGTCTCTCCCATTTACACCCCTGTGTGTCTGGTTACTTCCTAACTTTTTGTCTAACTTTCTATTTGCAGTGTTTTGGAAGGAAATTTTGAGGCCAGAACGATGTCATGCTCCTCCAGAGAAAATAGGAGCATGAGTGCCTGGCAGCCTTAAAAGACAAGGCAAGGAACTTCCCGGTGATCCCGTGGTTAAGACGCCCGTGTTTCCACTGCAGGGGCCTGGGCTTCAGCCCTGGTTGGGGAACTAAGATCCGGTATGCTGCACGGTGTGGCCAAAAAGTGTAAAAAAGAAAGAAAAAAAAAGATGAGGCAGCCAGCTAGGAGTCGGACGTGATTTTTATCGACTTTCTCTGCACCGTCTGCCATCTCCGGGAGGCCGCACCGCAGGCGTGCGTTCTCAAGCTGCGGCTTCTCCTTCGGCAGTGTGTAGCACAGTGACTGCTCTGAGCCTGCGGACGCCAGAGCCGTAGCCACGTCTCACGATGCCAGGTGCCCCCACCCGGGAAACGCCACCTGATGCCCGGGGTGCTGGAGCCGTTCTCCGTGGGTGAAGTAGCTGGGGACGCCATGTTTCTGCTTCCTGGCATCCTGGTGGGGCATGCACTGTCCTAAGAGAGGACAGCTGCCTCTCCAGGACAGGAGAGAGATCGTCCCTGGAGGAACTGGGGACCAGTGCAGATGAAGTCTCGGCTCCCACCATTCAGCACAGGGTGCGATCCAGAGGTTTCAGCCTGATAAAGAGCCGCTCAGGCCTGACCTGGGTGCCCTTCTCTCCAGGCTCCGCGCTGACTTGGAGCACCCGCCTCTCACGCTCAAGGCTGGTGAGCGCTGGGCCGGAGGGCCCACCAACAGAGGAAGCAAAGCTAGTCTCCCCGTCGGAGCCGGGAGCTGCCTATGAGCTATGGGACCGGCCACCCACCATGCAGGAAGGGTGCTTCCCCGGATGCCAGACGTTCGTGCGGAACCCAAGACGGTCGGGCAGGAGGGGCCACCCGTGTCTCTGAGAACATCCGGAGCCCTGGGGGTCAGCGCTGGGCTCTGGGCTCGGCCCCTGCCTTCCAGGGCGCCCACATCCTTCCAGTCTGCTCGTTTCCATCACGACTTCTGCGCTGTTGGCCCCAGGGATCCCCAGAGCAGAACTCTCTGCCTCTCTCCTTCAGACAGCAGCCTGTCGCCAGAAAATATTGCATCACACTGGGTTAGGTCTGCTGACAAAATCTCAAAAAGCCACTATGGGGCTCCAGATCTCTCTAAACACTTGAGTTACTTAGAAAAATCAGAGGTGTGTGAAGAGCCAGCTGCAGGCAGGGCTGGAGCGCCAGGGCACAGAGGGCACCTCGTGTCCTACAAAGAGTGATGGAGACTCTTAACGTGACTTGGAAACCCTATGCTCTCCTGATGGCCTGGGCATTTCCAGCCGGAAATGCACGCTTGGTCTCGGACCCGCCACCTGGTACAGTTGTGTCTGTGTATTAAGTTGACCTTTCTTGACGCTTTGAATGGGACTGGGAGACACGGTCCGGGTGCTGAGAGTGGGCCCACATGCCATCCTGCCCCAGACACAGCTGTCCTCTGGACACTCCAGAAAGTGACCCCAGCCGAATCCACACAGCGTCCCCAGCAAAGACAAGGCTTCGGAACCATCCAGCCTGTGTCCACCCTTGCTGAAGGCTGTCCGTGAGTCAGTCCCTCCAGGACCCCACCCAGGGCTCTCAGCTGGGACGTCCCTGGGAAGATCTCCTGAGATGCGGCATCCCCCCTTTGTTAGACACACGGACAGGAGGGACTTCCCGGGAGGTCCGGAGGTGAAGCGTACACACTTCCACTGCAGGGTCACGGGTTTGATCCCTGATGGATCCTGGCACCCCCTGTGTCTCCCTGAGCCCCCGTGTGGGGGTTCCCGGCCCAGGCCCCACCCCACTGCTGCCTTCCCAGCTCTTTTCCACAGGCCCCCCACAGCCACTGACCCACTGACCCTACGACTGCGTCACTGCCCAGCCTCCTCCGGGCACCGTCCTGGAAGGCCTGGGAGTCAGAGGATCAGCTGTGGGACACCCCAGCATGGCTGTGGACAGGGTCTGGGCTGTGGGGGTCAGCCCCACCCAGGGGGCGGGACTTCAAGGCCTGAATGCGGGGATTGGAGGTCACTGGAGCCCACCACAGAGGTCGTGCCGCATGGGTCTATTTCATGGAGCTTGAGATCGGACAGGACTCCCCTCCGGGAACAGTGTTTACAGACGCTCTGCCTCCCAGGGGTGGGGGGTGTCACTGGGGGGTTGGGGCGAGTGTCCATGCCCTGAGCTGGCCGACCCTGCAGGCCCACAGACACGGGTGAAAGCCCAGCTGAACACTCACCATCCCTGCACTTTACTACTGTGAGTGAGTTACACGTCGGTAAGACATGGTAATCAGAGCCTGTGGCCTGGTGAATGCCCAGGACAGGGGAGCTGAGGCTGGCAGCCTCGCAAGGACCCCCAGCCTTCCTGGCCTTGGGGTGTGAGAAGGGTCTGTCCACATCAGTGGAGAGACTGGCCATGAGTTCAGGGCCCTCCTGCAGGTGGTACCTGGGGGCCATGTGGGGAGGCCCTGAGACCCAAAGATGCCGGCCAGACCCCCCTGCTGCTCCACATCCAGACACCCGCCTCCCACCCCAGCCAACCCCTGACCCCCACCCCAGACACAATACAGAACCACCCAGAACCTTCCAGAACTCCAGACCCCAAATTTGTCATTGGTTGGTAAAGCCTGGGCTTTGGGGGTTTCCGGGGGCTCAGCTCCACCTTCCCAGCCCCTTCTTCCTCCAACTGACGCAGTTGGTGGGAATCCATCGTGAACACAGCGAGGTAATCCCTGGGCCTTCAGACAGGTGGCCAGGGACAGGACCTCGTCCCGAGAGAGGGCAGGCCTCGAGGGTCACAGAGGGTGCCCGGCTGCCTCGTGATGCCCCATCACAGGGAGGGTCACCAACCCCATCGCTTCTCCCGCCTCACCCCACATCCTCCTCCTCACCCCGAGGAGACTGAGCACGGGGTTGCAGGGCAGGGTGAGAAAGTATGGGTCACGGGGACGGGGAGGTCTCCGAGCCCAGAGCAGAGGGGTCAGAGGATGGGCAGTGAGGCTGCAGCCGCCTGCATGAGCCTGTGGTTCTGAGGGTCCCAGCGGGTCGGCGTGTCCCATGTGGGACGTGGTACCAAGTGCACATGTGGAAGGGCGCTGGGTCAGTGGGCAGGGGCAGTGGGGTGCGTGGGGCTCGCTCTGCCCAGAGGAGGCAGCCGTCCTGAGCAGTCACCTCCCTGATGCCGGGCAGGCTCCCCGAAGTGTGGGGGCCTGGGTGTCCTGCGGCCGCACGGCGCTCAGAGACGGATCCTCCGCCCATGCTGGAGGCCCTGCTCCCTTCGAGGCCCGGCCTCGTCCCCCCCGCCGGCCGCTGTGGCTCCGGTCCTTGCCTGTGTCTTCACGTGGCCCCCCGTGTGTTGCTAATCCCTCCTGCCTCCCTCCTGAGGACGCCGGCCGCGCGCTCAGGGCTGACCAGTTAATCCAGGATAATCTCCTCGTCCAGGGTCTTTACGTTGGTCACATCTGCTGAGTCACAGACCTGCTATTTGAGGAAAGGTCACATTCACGGCTTCCGGGGACAGGGGCGCGGACCCGACTGGCTGGCGGCTCCCAGCCGTGAACCATGGGAAGACAGCTCTGCACAGTGTCAGGAGCCCCCGGGCCGCCGGGGGACGCCAGGTGGCCTCCAACTCCCCAGGGAGGCTGGAAGGTGAGGTTCGGATCGTGGGCTCCAAGGGGAGGTGGAGGCCAGAGCCCAGCCAAGGTGCAGGCCTGGGATCAGCCTGGACGGGGGTCCCACCTTGGCCCCTGGGCCCTGGGGGCCCCCAGTGACCCGACCATTCTCCCTGGAATGGATCCTACTCCATGTCTAGTTCTCGGCTGTGTGTCGAGGGCTGGGGGCCTGATTCCCAGAAGCCCTGGGCTGTGTGGACCCTTCTTCACAAGAGGCCCAAGTGGGGCTCCCTGACCACACCACGTGGAGCCCAGGTTAGGGCTGGGCTGTGGGTAACGGTGCCCATTCAAGGGTAAGGGATAAAAGCTGGAGGCCGTGGAGACTCAGGGGTCCTCTCTGGGGGACTCCAGCTCTGCAGCGGGAAGAGGCGGCCAGAGAGGGGGAGGCCCGGGGAGCCGACCCGCCCCGACCCGGCCCGACCCGGCCCGACCCTGGCCAGCGGAGCGTCACCCTCTGCCGGAGCTCCTGTCTGCTGACCGCTGACCACAGGAATCTGAGTGGTGGCATCCGGGAACCTCGGGGCCACTGGGATGAGCTGCGCTGGTTTCTGAGGGTTCGCCTGCACATGAGCCCCCAGGATCATGTTCCCGAAAAGTAAGAAGGATTTCAGATGCAGGAAAGCCATGTGACAACCTGGTCCTGGCCCCAGCTCCAGGCGCCCATGGAGACAAGAAGGATCCCCCGATGAGGATGGTTAATCTTTGAAACACATGTTCTCACCCGTGGGTCCTGGATCTCACATTTCTAGCAACATGTTTACTTTATTGTCAGAGTCTTAAAGCACACCTTCCCTCTCATCGCCTCTGGGCATGGCCACCTGAGGCCTTGGAAATAGGAAGAGCCTTGTGACAAGGGTGTGTCAGGAGCCTGAAAGCCGCCAGCCCCAGGTCACAAAGGACAAGTGGCCACGAGCCGGGGCAGGAGCCCTCCAGACTCTCTCCTTCCCCGAAGGAAGTCTCCCCTTCTCTCAAATTCACCTGGCCCTTTATTTGTAAAGCGTGAGTGGCTTTACAACTTCCAGTCTGTGTTTTTTTCCCCACATGTTAGTGAAACACAACAGAAAGATTAAGTTCCAAAACACAGAGATACTTAACTCACTGGAGGGCAATACCACGTTCACGAGTGGACATGTTGTGTGATGTGTCAATTCTATAAATTCATTGTAATCCTAATCAAAATTTCAACACAATCAGGCCCCACTCACATAGAAGAGCAAACTACAGCAGTGACTGAGAAATACTTGAAGTGTTTCCACTTCGAAAGAAGAAACATTATGAAACTGCACAGTATCAGTTCAGACCAAACCAAATAAAACCAGGAAGCAGATCATGTACGTGTAAGACTGTACTGTGTGGTTGATGTGGCTTCCAGATCCGTGGAGAAAAGACCAGTCATTTGGTCAATCACATTTGGAAAAATGACTGTTCCTTTAGGGGAAAAAAGCATAAAAATTGTATCCCAGAGACAAATGCCGAAAACTTTAAGATGTGAACATTGGAAAACTACAAGTGTATCAGAAGCAAATATAAAGCAGTGGGTTTACAATCTCAGAGAGTTAGGACCGTCTTTTATCAGATGCTAAAAACACATACACAGCAAATAGGATGATTGATACAGTGGACCACCTCAAAGTTTGAGGCTTCTCAGTTACACAACAGATTAAGTACGCAGACCAGGATGTCTGGGGACTTAAACAATGAGACTCATGACCCAGAAACTGTAAAAACTTGGACAATCCAAACAGAACAGACAACAGGAAGACAGGTCAGAAGCGGACTCTCAGAGGAGGAAGTCGTGATGTAAGCACTGAGAAGACACAGACTCTCCAGGAAACACCACACTGAGTTAAGACCACACCGGCCCAGGCTGCAGTCACGGGGTCTTTCCTCAGGGCGGGGGTGGTCTGCGGCCGACCCCTTGTTGCTCCCCTGGAGTCCCTGACGCCGAGCTGGGGCCTGGCCTTCCGGGATGCGTCATCTCCCAGCTCCCCTGCACCCGTGCGGCCACGTGGCCGAGGGGAGGCTGTGCACCCCTAGGCTGGTGGCGTAGGGGGGTTTGCACCCACATCTTCCTTGTTACTGGTTGGTTTCTGGGGGGGACAGGTAGGCTGGAGCTTGAGCTCAAAGTGGACCCGCTGGTTGATGATGGTGGAGCCATGAGCAGAGGGGGACAGGACCCCCCCCCAACCACGAGCCGGCCCAGCAGCCGCCAGCCCTGTCCACCCAGCTTTGATTTTACAGCCCCACTGCTTGAGGCTTTCAGTCCACAGCCGCTGAGGTGAACCCTCACTGCGGGGAGTGCATATTTTTCCCCCAGTGGGACCCCCCCCCACACTTTCCTCTATGATCCTTGGAAGGTCCCATGTGGAGCCATCCCTGAAAATAACCCCTCGGGGAGACAGCCAGGCTACCCCATGGTCCAGAGACCACACTCAGTCAGGAGACGGCGTTGGCTGACGGGGGCGGGAGCTGATGACAGGTGGCGCGTCTGTCAGGCTGTGACGAATGCTGGGCTGGTTTCATCCTAAGGGGTCACGGGGGTATTGATGCTGCCTCTGGTGCAGGGCCCCACATGGGGTCCCTGGATGGACCAGCTCGTGTCGGCCCAGGCGAAGGAGCCATCAAGAGGGGCCGCTCCCACTCAGGAGGCCTCCGCGGAGATGCTGGGAGCCAGGCACTCCGGGCCTGCTGCCTCCCAGCTCCGCCGGACAAGCCTCGGGGCATGGCCCCGGCCGCCTTCCACACGGAGGGTGAGCGTGCAGGTGGGCTCCAGCTGCTCCATTTGCTTCCATCTCTCATCCCGGCAGCAGCGATGGTCAGGACGCAGTGTCCATCTCCTCACTGGAGCAGGGGAAGGCCGGTTCCCTGCTGCACTCCAGGGGTATTTCAAGGCTGGACAACCTGATAATTTCATTAAACTGACACAAGAGAGTTCACGAATTCAAACAGGCTCATCTGTTTCACAGAGCGACTCACCGATGGTTCTTAACTTGTAAGGAACTCAGCGGCCAGAGCCGCCCCGCCAGTGGGTCAGGGCCTGAGGCTGGCCAGCGCTGGGCTGGCTGGTCACTGCCATTGTCGGGGGCCACACCCCCGGGACTCGGCTGGGGCCGGTCAGACCCTGCCTCGCTGGCCGAAGCCTGGCCCATCTGTGTCACGGAGCCAGGACCGCGTCCAGTGAGAAACCCAGGCCAGCGTGGAGGCAGGTGTGGGTTTGGAGGGAGAAGCTTGCTCACAGCGACCGAAGGTGCCCAAGCGCCCAGGGGACAGACAGAGCAAAGCTCCCCGGAGCGTGCCCGTGGTCACAGGTCACAGGACAGGCTTCTGGAAGACACGTGCTTGCTCTCGCTGGGCAAAGGACGCAAGCGGCCATGCCAACCGTTTCACTAAATCGTTGTCGCTGAACCAGCAACTGTTCCCCTGCATTTACCACATGACTCCTCCTTTCTCCCCAGCCAGGATGTCAGCAGGACAGCAGTGGGGGGGGTGGTCTCTGTGACCCCCACAGGGCCGCTCCCACGCCGCGTGGTCCTGCCTGCCCACCCGGCGTGTCTCGTTATGACCAGAAGCTGGAAGCCAAGGATGGCGGTCTCCCTCACGTCATGCCCACCCGGCCTGGGCTTCTGCCCCATGCCCCCCAGGGACGCTGTTCAGTCCTCACGTCCCGGTGGAGGCTGCAGGAGAAAGGGGCCAGGAAGGAGAGGAGTGTTTAAAAGTAAGAAGCTTTTAAGGAGCTCTGGGCCGTTCATGTTTTGAAGGAAATGAGGGTGAAGCTGCCAAAATGCCCAGAGCCTGGCCTGGGCCAGGCACGGCAGGACGGCCTCACATCGCCGCTCCCCGGAGTTGGGGCAATGCCGTCCCAGCTTCACATAGCAGAAGGTGTCTGCCAGCCATGGCCTCATCAGCCATCTCCCCTTGACACGTGAGGAAAACTCCGAGCCAAGAGGAGACATTGATTCATCACTTAGCAAATAAGGCGATCGATTGAAACAGGTCTGCCTTCACCAGGAGCCCTTTGAAAGGACAGCAATTTAAAGTCCTGGTTGGTTGTGAAATGCTTGTTGAGGCGGTATGCACACATTTAAGGGGAACTGTTTATATAGCATTACTATCTCTTAAAGACAACGTATGATACGTGACCACCAAGTAGTATTTAATCCCATACATTCTGCGGCCGTGCCAGCATAACCAGAACCCCAAACCCACGTTCACAGGCCCCACCGTCCGGCCGCCCCCCGGCCCCTCCGGGCCCTGTCCCTGCCGACACCGCTCAGCCAAGCCAGGATGCAGGCTGGCGCGGGCTCCCAACACCATGCTCCTGAGACCCGTCCCGTGTCAAGCACGTCTGCAGGTCCTTTATGCATCTTGCTGTGCTCACCCACCACCGTTCTCCATCCACTGTGCTGTTAACGGGCACTGGCGCTGTGTCCAGTCTGGGGCCTCGGACACTGATGCTGCTGTGGTCTGTCGGGTACACGCCTCGGAGTGGCATCGTGGTTCCCCGTGTGCTCCTGAGCGAGGCCTCAGTGGGGATTCACGGTCTTCCAGCTCCAGCCGCTCCACCCTGGGACCATCGCTTACTCTGCTCTTCCATTTCAGCCATCCCCGTGTGAAGCAGAAATTTTGGATTTTGGTGTAAGTGAAACGTCCCGTGTGTTTGTTCTGGAGGCCCAGTTTGTCCTGTTGGCCTGTTTTTCTTTCTAGAGTCCCACGCAGTGTCACTTATTGCAACTTTAAGTCCCCTGGGACTTCCCTGGTGGTCCAGTGCCTAAGACTCCAAGCTCCTGATGCAAAGAGCCCGGGACTGATTCCTGATCGGGGAACTATAGTCTACATGCTGCAATTCAGACCTGGCCAAAATAAATAAATCATTGTTGTTGTTCAGTTGCTAAGTCATGTCCTACTCTTTGTGACCCTGTGGACTACAGCACGCCAGGCTTCCCTGTCCTTCACTATCTCCCAGAGTTTGCTCAGGTTCATGTTCATTGAGTCAGTGATGCCCTCTAACCATCTCATCCTCTGTCGTTCCCCTTCTCCTCCTGCTCTCAATCTTTCCCAGCTTCAGGGTCTTTTCCAGTGAGTCAGTTCTTCCCAGCAGGTGGCCAAAGTACTGGAGCTTCAGCTTCAGCATCAGTCCTTCCAATGAACACCCAGGACTGATCTCCTTTAGGATTGACCGTTTGATCTCCTTGCAGTCCAAGGGACTCTCAAGACTCTTCTCCAACACCACAGTTCAAAAGCATCAATTTTTCGGTGCTCAGCCTTCTTTACAGTCCAACTGTCACATCCATACATGACCACTGGAAAAACCATAACTTTGACTATATGGACCGTTGTCAAAGTGAAGTCTTTGCTTTTTACTCTGTCAAGGTTGGTCATAGCTTTCCTTCCAAGGAGCAAGCATCTTTTAATTACATGACTGTAGTCACCAACCACAGTGATTTTGGAGCCCAAGAAAATAAAATATGCTACTGCTTCCACTTTTCCCCTGTCTGATTGCCATGAACTAAATAAGTCCTCTGTCCAGGAGCAGTGGTTCTCCAACTTTGTTCTTCCTCAAGATTATGCCTGTTGCTGGCCTTCACTGATGGCTCAGTGGATAACAATTGGCCTGCCAATGCAGGAGACACGGGTTCAATCCCTGGTCCAGGAAGACCCTACATGCCTCAGTACAGCTAAGCCCGTGTCCCACAGCTACACACTAGAGCCCACCCACTGCAACTCCTGAAGCCTGCCCACCTACCGCCCGCGCTCCACAACAGGAAAAGCGACTGCAGTGAGAAGCCACCACAAGAAGGAGTAGCCGCCGCTCAGCGCAACTGGAGAAAGCCTGTGAAGGTGAAGCTGCTCAGTCGTGCCCGACTCCTCGCGACCCCGTGGCCCATACAGTCCATGGCATTCTCCAGACCAGAATACTGGAGCGGGGAGCCTGTCCCTCCTCCAGCGGATCTTCCCGACCCAGGAATTGAACCGGGGTCTCCTGTACTGCAGGAGGATTCTTTACCAGCTGAGCTACCAGGGAAGCCAAAAAGAGAAAGCCTACACAGCAACAAAGACCCCGTGCAACCAAAATAAATAAATAAGATTATGTCTACTACTGACTCTCGACATTTCAGTATATTTTTCAGAAATATGTCATAGGTGTCACATACACACAATCTGCTAAGATTTTCATCAGTATTATAGTTAGCCTATAAATCACCTTGGAGAGAATCTACATCTTTAAATATGAAGAATCCAATTCATGAACATATTTCTCTCTATTCTTTAGGATTTAAAATTTTTTCTGAATAATGTGTTAATTTTTGTATAAGATTTTGAGTATACTTGATTAGATTTTTCTTGGTTGCTTTTAGTGCAGTTTCAAATATTTAAAATCTTTTTTTCTAATTGTTTCTGCTAGTATATAGAAAGACAACAGATTTTTAAATAATTCCTAAACTTTATTTTTTATAACACTTAAGTTTACAGAAAAATCGAACAGAAAGTACACAGAGTTCTCAAGTACCTCTGCTCCCCTTGACCTACAGCTTCCTATTAGGAATATCCTGCATCATGTGGTGCCTTGGTTACAATTGATGGGCCAGTACTGATGCATTGTGATTCGCCGAAGCCCGTGGTTCACACTGGGGTCTGCCTGGTGCTATGCGCTCTATGTGTTTGGACAAACGCACGGTGACCTGCATACAGAGTGGTCTCCTCGCCCTGAACCTCCACTGCTCTTCCGGCAGCTCACCACATCCCCACAGACCCCGGCATCCACTGATGCTTCTACTGTTCCCATGGTTTGCCTTTTCCAGCACATCCTAGAATTGGCATCATGCAGTGTGTAGCCTTTTCAGATTGGCTTCTCTCAGTAACATGCATTTAGGGTTACTCCATGTCTTTTTATGGCTTAATAGCTCATTTTTTAAAGCAGTGAATAATATTCCACTGTCTGGATGGACTACAGTTTATCCATCACCTACTGGCAGAAATTGTCCTTGGAAACACTTAGTTACTGATCTTTTGCCATCTGTTGTCTAATGTAAAAAAAGTAGGCTGTGTTTCTCTAAAGGGAAACTCTAATTCAGACTCTGATCAAAAAACCCAGGTCTCCAGTCACCCCGATGGTCAAGTTCTAGTGACACAGCAGTTGTCATTCACACAGAGTTGGCCCCTCTGAACCGCTCTTCATCTCCAGTAAAACTCCTTCCAGGTGTGAAAGGTTGTTGCTGAGCCAGGAAAGATGCCGGGATTCTTGGCCTTTGGAGAAGAGGAATTCAATCTGGGGCCAGTGACAAGGCTTGATCACTCAGAGCGTCTGTGTAATAAAGTTTTGTTAAAGTATAAAAGAGAGAGAGAAAGCTTCTGACATAGTCATAGAAGGGGCAGAAAGAGTACCCCTGCTCATCTCTAGCCCAGTGTTAGAGCTATGGGCAGTCTGCTGATCAGAGGAAGGAAAGGTCTCAGAACTCAGAGGGGCACCAGGCCCTCACCCACAACATTCTGAGATAACATGGGCACCAGGGGAGTCATCCTGGGCCATGAAGCGATTAACACGAATCTCGAAGAAAGGCAGGTTTCCAAGCAAATGCAGTCTCACTAACATAGCTAAAGAGCAAGGTATGAGTAAAACATACTGGTTTGTCAAGTCGGTTCTGAGTCTTTAGGTGGAACCAACTTGAAGACAGAGTCTAGGGTAAATACATAGCACATTAACATAGCTTAAGACAAACATTTCCATAAGAAAAACGCATTGGTTAGCTCAAGGTTTGAGAAAAGTTAAGTTCAGGTGGAATCAGGTGTCATCATGGCAACACAGAATTTTAAAAGCAGCCTCTTTAAATTTGGATAGAGAAGGGAAAAAATCTAACACTTATTTGTTTCCTCCCACCCTTGAGAGAGAGAGAAAAAACGTCTGACATTTGCAGCCTGTTTCCTCAGCTTGGAGACCCCTGGCCTTCCTGCCTTTTACCCTCTCAGGGGTGGCTTTCCCCACTCTGAGCCAGGCAGTACTCTCAGTACGGACCACATCCCTGCCAGCCTGGAACACACATGTTGGTCAGCAAGAAGAACAGGGAGAAAGTGGGCAGGAACCAAGTGTGTGCCCGGACACAGCCCTCCGCTGATTAGACGAGGCCCGCCCTGGGGAGGTGCACAGAATCCCCTGTTCTCACCCAGAAACACCCAGAATAAAGTCGGACCAAATATCTGGCCACTCGGTGACCCAGTTACATCGCACTGCGTGATGGTTCACGGGAAGTTCTGGCTTCCGTCTGGACGGTATGCTGGTGGAGGAGGAGGAGCTGCAGGCTCCTCCGGAGGCCACTGCAGCCGCCCCAGTGGGACGCAGCCGCTCACATGTCCGAGGCTCCAGCTGGCTTTCCCCGGTTCCTCCGGGGCTTCTCCTCCTGGTGCCTGCTGGCACAGATCTGAGGTGGAGCTTGTTCAATTGTTGTTCCATCACTCAGTCATGTCCAACCCTTTGTGACTGCATGGATTGCAGCACGCCAGGCTTCCCTGTCCATCACCAGCTCCCAGAGGATGCTCAAACTCTTGTACACTGAGTCGGTGATGCCCTCCAGCCATCTCATCCTCTGGTGCCCCCTTTTCCTCCTGCCTTCAATCTTTCCCAGCATCAGGGTCTTTTCCAATGAGTTGGCTCTTTGCATCAGGTGGCCAAAGTACTGGAGCTTCAGCTTCAGCATCAGTGGGGGGCTTACAGGGGGGGAACTTAGAGGCCTCCAGTGCCAGCCTCCTAATAGTCTCCCTACCTTCTGGGGAAAGTTGGCCTAAGGAATATTTCTGAAATAAACAGACAGCCCAGGAAAGGGGCCAGGCCACAGCCACCTCTGAGCATGACACGGTGCCCCTGAAACTCCAGGTCTGAGCACTTGAGGGGATTTCTCTCCCATGAGTCACGCTCCCTCACCCGTGAAACAGCTGATGACCCCCCACTCCGCTGTCAGGCCTCCAAGGTAATGTGTACAGCAGTTTTCAGACTCCAACAGTTTGCTGTTGCCAATATTATCATTATGATGAAAAACTTCATCAGTAGATCTAAGAAAGAAATGAAAATTTTTATTCAAGCCAAACTGAGAATTGTAACCTGAGAACAGTCTCTCTGGGACTTCCTTGGTGGTCCAGTGGTTAAGAATCCGCCTTGCGAAGCAGGAGACAATGGGTTTGATCCCTGGTCGGGGAACTAAGATCCCACATGTAACCAGGCAACTAAGCCCACGCGCCTCAACTACTGAGCCCACGAGGTCTGGAACACGTTCCCCACAACTAGAGTCCGTGCGGCTCAACAAAAGATCCCGCTTGTGAAAGAAGACCCGAGGCAGCCAAATAAATAAATACATAAAAGGATCGGGCTTGATCCGCCCCAGGACAGGGGCAGAGCTGCCAGCCCGAGTTCCAGGAAGATAGCCCTGGGCATTGCCCTTTCGTGCAAGGGATGCCCAGGAAGCCAGTGAATCAACAGAGAGA